GACAGAAGACAGAAGACAGAAGACAGAAGACAGAAGACAGAAGTCAGGGGCAGCTCTCTTCCTGGGGACCGAGGTCAGGGTGTGAATCGGACAGGCGACTAACCTTCACCACGCCGTCGTCCCGGCCCAGCGCTGACACGGCAGGCTCCTTACACAGGCAGGAGCTCCGGATCCGGGACTCCTGCTCCTCCGACTGATAAACCACCTCCCCCGTGTTTCCACTTCTTAACTGGCCGGGAAGAGACGGGGACAGAGAGCGGTACACGGAGTCAGTAAACCTCCACGCTGCCCGTCACCTGCAGGAAACTGCCTGTGCTCGCACAGCGTCACATCTGTCATAGATGGTACAGAGCCCTGGCAGAAGAAGGTGTCCGACAGAGACCTGCTCCCTCAGACATGCAGAACCTGCACTCTCAACATGGAGGAGTCCTGACAGCGGAGGCATCCAGGACAGTAATGGCGTAGTCCACCACACTGCTGCCCCGAGCCGAGCTGTAAGTGAACCTGCCTAGAGACCTTGATCCCGGAGTCTCACTGTAGCTCCCTTTCAGATATTTAACAGACACTCAACGTCCAAGCCGCAAGACACGCGGACACGAAAGAGATTTCAGTGCAGGATTAAGGCAACGATGCCCAACTTGTCTCGCTCTCGGTTCCTTCCTGCCGAAAAAGGATGGAAGGAGCGCCTGTCCCTCCCCAAAAGAAGAGACGTCCTACCTGCAGACGGTTCCTGCTATCAGGAGCCAACACTGAGATTTCGTTGTGATCAAAAAGCACGTCAGAGTCTCTCTTCAGTGACACCGCAGACGAAGTGTGGACTTTCTTCGTTTCCCAAAGCTGGTCAGAGAAAAAAATAAATAAAACCATCAGAGTTTTGAACAGGCTGTCCAGCCTTCAGGGAATCTACAACACGAGCGGATGTCAAGCAATATTGCTTGATAAGAACTGTTTTTTTTTTAGATGAGAAAAGCCCTCTCTGGTTCTATGTTTGTTATGAGGTAGTGCACAGGAGGGCGAGAGCTGAGAGCTGAGAGAGCTCTGGCAGGCGGCCTCGACAGCGCCACCTCCTGGGGAACCGTGGACGCAGCGGTCTGGTGACGTGACCCAACATCGAACCCGAGGTCACGGAACTCAGCCTGCACTTGGACGAGCGCTGTGCATTTTGTTCTTCCCCCACAAACCTGTCCTTTCCACACCAATCTAACAATAATCTGGTGATCTTTCTGGAAGTGAGGCGAGAAAGGAAAAAAAAGCAGCATGTTTCTTGATAGCATCTGCTCGTGGGAAGATCCTAAGCGAAAGCCAATGTTTGTTTTTGGGCTGAAGACCTAACATCAAGTTTGGGGCCAAAACAATATGACAAAAAAAAAACAGATACTAGGTTTAATGCTATAAAACAAAATCTAAAAAGCAAACTTTCTTAATCGGTACCAAGTCTGCACACTCGTTTACATTTCAATATCAGAATTAAATTTTACGCGCCTGTGCAATGTTAGGTTCTGATCAGAAGAGATATACAGGAGCCAGGAATTCTTTTCAAACAACTTGCTGGTATTGGGAATCAAAACCGAAGAGCTGAGACGCGCATATCTTCTAGACAGAATGTGTGTGACAGTTTTAAATTGACTTTGATGATACTCAAAGAGTACCATCGCTGAGCCAGGACTCTGAGTACTAGGTTTCAATTCCAGGGCATCAGTCGAAATAAACACATGCTGTACACTTCCACACATGATTGAAAAGCTGGCCCTGCACTCTGACAAGAGTCGACTTCAAAACTCCTTGGACCCAGTTCCTTTAATCAGAAGAAGATTAAAGGAAGATGAAGGCAGTATAGTACGGGGCTGCATTTTGTAGCCAGAAAAAAAGTTATACGTCTCAAAAAGGAAAAAAAAAAACCTATTATCCTTGATTGCCTTTTGTATTAGAGCAGGGCTGGAGCTGTAGTGAAAATATAGCCAGCATCTACATCACACTTCAACTCGCTACTGGCAGCCCACTGAAGCCCAGCAGGCGTGAGCCTGGTCAGTACCTGGATGGGAGACCTCCTGGGGAAAATGAAGGCTGTGTCTTGAAGAGGTGTTAGTGAAACCAGTAGGGGGCGCTCACCCTGTGGTCTGTGTGCATCCTAATGCCCCAATATACTGTAAAGAGGCACCGTCCATTGGATGAGACTTAAATCCGAGGTCCTGCCTCTGTGCTCATTAAAAATCCCAGGGCGTTTCTCGAAAAGAGTAGGGGTGTAACCCCGGCTTCCTGGCCAAATTTCCCATTGGCCCTAACCAGTCATGGCCTCCTAATAATCCCCATCTCTGAACTGGCTTCATCACTATGCTCTCCTCCCCACTGAGAGCTGGTGTGTGGGGAGTGTACTGGTGCATCATCCAGGTGGGGCTGCACAGTGGTGGTGGAGGGGATCCCCATGACCTGTGAAGAGCTTTGAGTGGAGTGTCCAGAAAAGTGTTATATAAGTGTAAGGAAACTCACCCTGACAGTCTGGTCGTCCGAGGACGACAGCAGTAAAGAGCCATCAGGTGAAAACTTGACGCAGTGCACCCAGCTCAGATGTCCGCTACAGTCTGCCACTTTCTTGTTGGACTCAATTTCCCACAGCTGCGTTTTCAACAGAAAGAGGGGACAAAAAAAGCACACGAATCGACTCATCCCACCGAGGTGATAACCTCATGAGAGGCAAGAACTAAAACCATCCACATGAACGGAGGGCGCTGGTTTCCACGTACCTCCACAGTATAGTGGGAGAGAGCAATGGCCACGAGCTGGCCGCTGGGGCAGAAGTCGCAGAACTGGATGGTGCCGTGGCGGCTGGTTTTGATCTCCGACAGCAGGTCACAGGTGTCGGCGTCAAAGACCTTCAAGAATTCAAACAAAAACCTAAGCTGCCGTCACTGAACGGCACTTAGCCACTCAAGAGACTGGAGGGCCACGCTTGTTGTTCCAAGCTTCCAAGTGCCTTTTTACGCGGAAGCCAGGATTCAACAACCTCGACCAACGGCCTCACAGAGCGACAGTGCTGATGAATCAGGTTTACACGGCAAGGCTCCAGCCGTGAGTTTTGCTATTTCAAGTGTCTGGGTCTGCACAAATATGCTGTATGCAGTTTAGACAGAATATGCTGTTCTAAAACTTGCTAATGATAAATTAATAGCCCATATGTGCATGCCGTAGCTACTTCCTATGCGTTCCAAGGGAGACATTTTTCCACTTTTTTAGGAGACAGGTTGCTGGCCCAGATGGGTGGATTATATATGAATCACACCCAGTAATGGTTGGTTAATCGCATCTTCTCCCAGCCTGGCCTGGAAACCGATGAAAGCTACATCTCTGACATCCAAGAGTGCCCTCCTCAATGAAAGTACACTACATTAAAAAAGGACAGTTCTTTGCTGTACCGTTTACCCCATGCTTTTAGAAACAAGAAACGTGTTACAGGCAAGAGAGCTCGACAGACGTGCAGAGGACTGTTATCACGCGTGCTTACGAAGACGGAATTCTTCGCTGCAGCGATAATCCGAGAGCCATCTGGAGACCATGCTCCACACTTCACGATCACATCCCCCTCCTCCCTGCTGTCCGGGGACGACGGGAAGTAGCTGAACACGTCGATGGACTTCCATTCGTTCCCTGAAGACACCTGCCAAAGCTGGGAAAGACAGGGGACAAGTTAGTCCTCACTGGAGCCCCAGAGACTCCCCTGCAGGACGTGGGCATGACCCCGCAGCTGCGCTGCCGCGTCTCTCTGGATGGGGGCGGGGCCGGCGTCTTGTAGCCCGAACCGCCCGCTCCTGGCCTCATGCGCTGCTGGAAGAGCGTCGCCTCATTACGGCTCAGTCAAAACGGCTCTTTTACAAGAGCACCAAAGGAACCTCCACAGAGAGTGGAGCAATGTCACATTAACAAATAAACGGAGAAGTTCAGCAGACTGGGTGGAGGCTCACAGATCAAGTGCTTTTTGCAGGGACTGCTGAAGTGATGGCGAAGGGCGAGCGTGATCTAACCTTCAGCGTTCCGTCGCTCGAGCAGCTGGCCAGGTGCGCATCGTCAGGTGAAAAGCAGCAGTGATTGACAGCCTCTGTGTGTCCAAACAACGTGTTCTGACAGGTGGGCTTATTGATGTTCCACAGCTTAAGAATGAGCAGGAAAAAGGCAATAACATGACTAGAGCACACTGGAGAAGGTAAAGGTTTTCTTATACACTGAAAAGTCAAAAGAAGACATGCAACGATTTGGCTATTGAGCCTTCTTCAGGTGTCACACCTGAGCAGCGCACTGTATTCACAGGTTAAAACACTCGATCAGAAAGAGCAATGATTAATATAATATACTGCTCTGAGTCTCTGCAATGGGTTGAGCAACGTTACATCTAAAAAATAAATATCGATATAAATAACATCATCAGTGCAATACATCAACAACAAAGTTCTTCCCGTGGATTTTCAGCTTCAGGAAGGCAATCTGCTACACGCACCTTGAGAAAGCAGTCATTCGAACCCGTGGCCAGGAGGATTCTGTAGCTGCTGTTGGTAAACTGACAGTGGTTCACCTGTTCGCTGTGCTCTTCATAGATCCTGATCAATTTTCCTCTCTCCGCATTCCAAATCTGAAATTCATAAGAGGCATAAACAATTAAAAAACGTGCTCGCTCCGTCTCTCACACCTCTGTTCTAATGACTAAAAACATGATGGCAACGTATGGCTTTGCGCCACTCTGTGCAGATCACAGTCACGGCCAGCTAGCCCGTTTACTGTTGGCGAGACAGTCTGTGGATCTGTCTTTACACATGCAGTATCTGTCTACGTCAGATATAAGGCTCTGTTCCTGTGGCTGGAAGGTTGCCGGTTCAAATCCCGCAGCCGGCAGAGGAATCCTACTCCGTTGGGCCCCTGAGCAAGGCCCTTCACCCCAGCTGCTCCAGGGGCGCCTGATAAATGGCTGACCCTGCACTCTGACCCCCAGCTTCTCTCCCTGTCTGTGTGTCTCATGGAGAGCAAGCTGGGGTCTGCGAAAAGACAAACTCCTAATGCAAGAAATTGTATATGGCCAATAAAGTGATCTTATCTGATATTGGTTACTGGAAACAAACTAGATTTACTATACAAGCATAAATAAGCACACCATGTACGGAGAGAAAAAAAAACTTTTAAGCAGTGACTGTGTCATCTCAATTCCTGCTTAGATTACTTATAAATGTAAGGCCGTTAAGACACGGAGGTAATTTTGCACTCCAGTCAGCTTTTTTGGAAGAAAAGGGCTTTTGCAGTCAATAATAAGCCCGTGAAGCGTCAGGCCTGCGCCGCGGCTCACCTTTATCTTCCTGTCGGTGGAGCATGTGGCGATGAGCTTGTCGTCCGGGGAGAACGCGCAGCACAGCACCTCCTCCTCGTGGGCCACGATGTCCAGAACCTTCTCCCCCGTCACGCTCCTGAACACCTGCCACACAGCCGACACACACACAGGCATGGGCGGATGAATCACCCCACACTTCGCTCTGAAAGGGACAGGCGCAGCACCGCTGGTTTCGGTCCCCCTGAATCGGAAGCCGATCGGCGTTTCAGAACGGAGGCGCTGTTTTGCGAGATCTTCCTTAAGTGAAAAAATACCATGGAGATAACTAGGCCAACAAGCAATACGCTAATAAGACAAAATTCTAATAAACTGATACCACAGCTTTATCACTGTGCAAGCGTTAATGCTATTTAAGTCTTGCTGATGGTATTTTATCTGAAGGTCGAAGTAAAATGCAGCCGAGGACAATGATGGCCATTCTTTGGACAATGAAAGTGATGTCCGAAATGAGTATTTCACTCTGGTGTTCACAGAAGAAGTCGACAATGTGCCTCCGGCAGTGGGAAGGACAAAGCCTTGTCGAAACGGTGTAAAAAAAAAAAGGGAGAAGCGCTCTCTCAGAAGCACTCAGGATAAAGAAATTCCCAGGCCTAACGGTACAGTATGGAACAAATTGTGCTCAAGGAAATGAGAGATATAATTCAAAAGTGACTGACAACTCTTCCAACAGTCACTCAAGGCAGGGGCAGTCCTGAGGGAGTGGACAATTGCTAACATAGAGACCATCCACTCGAAGGGTGAGAAACTGAACCAGGTAATTAAAGACTATATACAATAGATCTCAGACTTTTTAGAGTTATGGAAATAATTACAACTAAACTGGAGATTCACCTATGTGGAAAGATTCTAGGGAATACTCAACTCATGGATTTAAAGAAAAGTCAGGCCTTGCTAATGTAGAGAACAAGCAACAGGAGTAAGGAACATACACAGTGCATACAATATGGCGTATTCACATTTTCCCCCCATGAGCTTTTCATAATGTTAGCCTATAAAAAAAATGAAATTACAGAGAGGCATTTAAGGAAATGCTTGCATTTAGAGTGAGACCTGGCTAAATGGATAGACAATACCAAAAGAGGTGGATTACCAAACTACAGAAGCAGCAAAGGAAATTCAATAGGATTTAGATCAAATTCACAACTGGGCAAAAACCCTGCATTTAACGAAGACCAGTGGAAAATATTACATGCTGGTAACAAAAACAAAAACTATAAACACAAAATGGTAGATGCTGATCTCGAACGGGCTTAGGAGCTCATGCATCATTTACATGTTGCAGTCTAGACAATGAAAGGAGGTCACCAAAAAGCGAACAACAGTAAAAACCACTGAATGTAAATCATGGCACGTCTCGATAAAAAAGTACAACGGTCCTTTAGAATACTTCTGATCACTACCAAAAAAGGAACCGGATAGATGTGCTGGTTTTAAGGAAGGCCCCACAATGACAGAACCTTTGGGGTCTTGAACACAAGACTATCACCTTATAGAAGTATTCAAAAACCTCAGAGCCGCTGACAGTAGTGAAACATGAACCACAGGACAGCAGTGGAAATGCACTGAAAACGGAGAGCAGGAGAGGAGGCACCTCTGCACACACAGTGTTATACAGAGCCCACCGGGTTGGTTCAGGCGGAATGCTTCAGACGAGCACAATAACAATAACGTGAAACATATCAAACGCTACACACATGACAGTGTGCAGTGACACAGTGTTCTGCATCGAGAGTCTAGGAAGGTCTGACACTGATGCTAAAGAAAGCTGCTGATGTTTACGAAGAGCTGCAAATAACTTGAACACAGAGGGATTTTTCATTACGGCAAGGCTCTTTATATCACACAAGTCCAAACGCGTTCTGCAGACACGCAGATGCAGTGAACTGCCGAGACAGTCGTTGGTTCTGTACTGCGGGGTTATCTGCAGGTGCCAGTCTCCACAGCCCCACAGTCTCAGGGAAGAGAGACACCCAGTGGCCATTTCTGAAAAACCAGGCAGGCTTCAGTATGCCAGGCAGGCATCATTTTAATGTCAGCACTATAAATATGTAAATCGGAGTCGCTAAACCTCATCAGAGTTGAACATCAGAGTTGTTTTTTAAAACAGCATAAATCATGAAGGATATACTGTTTGACTGAATGGTTTACATCATCTCTTATAACGAAGACAGTTGCTACAGCAAAGCAGAGCTGATGCCTGGCGCCTTGTGCTGATGGCTAGAGTGCACCTTGAACAGGACGCCAGTCCAGGTCACAGGGACAATGTGCACCTTAAAATCTGAAATACTGTACAACAGTGGCCGAGATGGAACAGGTAACACCTGTGGCGCCTGAAGAAGGCTCCACGGCTGAAACATCACGTTTCTTTTCCTTTCAGCAATGGGATTTATCTGCTACTTTGCAGCCTGCGCATGCTGACGCAGGTCTCTACTCGAACTACTAAAGGCCGAAAAAGCAGATGAAGTAGGCAGCATGTCTGTGGAAGGCAGGAGGAATCCGACCACTAGGAGAAAACTACACATGGACACACGCAGAACACAAACTTCACACAGGCATCAGGGACCAGAAACAAACCCAGGACCCACAAGCTGCTTGGCCACAGCACTGACCACCACTCACACAGGCCAGCCTGCCCAAAGAGCATTTACCTGGACTGTCCGGTCAGCTCCACAGGACGCTATCTTTTCCCCATCCCGTGAAAAGCAGGCGTAGTAAATGGATCCCTTATGAGGCTGCACAATCAGACGAGACAAGCTTTCTAAACTGCTTTTGTTGCTGAAAAACAATATTCACAGCACATGAGCAAAAACATTCTTAGAAAGTTTTCACGTTGAAGACATTCTGACAAATGCAGTAAACGGTGTCAAGCCTGCGTTAACTGTCACAGGACATGAGCAGTCAGAGGCAGTGCAGGCTGAGGACACCGGTGCAAGGAAAGGTCAGAGGTCAGGAACTGGGCAAAGGGACGTTAGGTCAGAGGGAGGGTGAGTGCAAGACTCCCAGCTCCAGCCCCTGGAGGTCTTTCCGGGAGTCTCTGTACACTGGAAACCAGTATAGCCGAGACTTATCCTCTTTCCCCTGCTTTGGAGCTACTGGCAAGTTTAACAGATTTAGGAATCCTGCAGGAGCGGATACACCGAGGACTGGAGTTGGGAAAACCTTGTGGGTGGGGCTTAGAGCTGTTATGGAGGATGGGGTTCACACCGGGCTTGAGGCCGAGGCAGCGGCAGGAATTAAGAGTCCGACCACTAATTTTAGACAAGCAAGGGCTAGGCTGGTTCTGCGGATGGGTTTAAAGTTGTGTTTGTTTCATTGCACTTCAGCTGAAATGCTTGATGTGAGCAGTTTTTTGCTTGCCAAGCCAACAGCTGGGAGTTTGTACCAGTCCAGGTTTCCCACAAGCTGAGCGAGGCCCTCTATCCTGCAGGTCCAGAGCTACTCTTGGTTGGAGAGGCCCGTCTATTATGGACATCAGCTAGTGGAAACCTGTGCTTTGATCCTGCACTCTAACTGGACACATTAATGAATGAATGCTAGATAGCTACACAAAGATCATCCCAAAACCTTCCCCATTTTTATCTTTGTCATTGTCCCATCTTCCTTGTTTGGAGAATCAAAGATCATTTCTAAGTACTGCACATCTGTGCAGCACATCCAAAAGGTGTCACCAAAAAGGTGACGGATATAAAGAAGGAAGCAGGTCAGCTTTTTCCTCAAACAGTTCCTTTTGTGCATCAAAATCATCTACAGAAGCTAAATGAAAATGGAAGAGAAGCTTCACAAAAATAAATCATATATTACAATTAGTGCAAACTGTAGTTATTTCTTCTTATACACTTAGGGAAGCTGAAACAGACCTTGATTATTTAACATGTTGCAGTTGGAGCCTTAGGAGTGAGAAACCAGAAACTAATGTGGGCAACAATAGCGACCGTCAATACATTCCTGCTGAACAACAGAGAGGATTTGTTTCTATAGGACAGGCACCCTGGAGTGATCCTATAGGATCTGGGGTCCTTTTCTTGAGTGCTCTGAAAAAGACTGAGCTTTATACTCATCCCCGATCTGATCCTTTTATACATCCAATCATTCTGTGACTACTTCTATCACACACTTTGGCATTATTCTAATCTCAACATGAAAACTGTAGAAAGGCCTTAGCAAGTCTGAGCTTTATGTTCATTATTAGCCTGTTTTTTTGTGTCTTTTGTTTAATGTATGTTTCTCGTTCCTTCTTGGTCTTGTTAAAATGTTCAAAATCTCTTGAATAAACTACTTAAAAAAAACATTTCAGCTGAGGGATGAGCAGGTGTCTGTGCCGGCACTCACATCCAGTCCAGGTAAAAGGCCCCCTTCCTGGCCTCCTCCTCAGCCTTGAGCCGGGCCTGGCGGTACACCTCCGAGGAGCTGGGCTGGCACAGGCCCAGCTGCACCACGTCCGGGAAGGGCCTCTGCTCCAGCAGGTGCCCATTCAGGGACAGGAACTCCTGGAAGTTCTCGCGCACCGTGCTGTTCTGGGTCGGAGAGAGAGAGAGAGAGACGTCACGATCGCCCACGTCTCGGATTGGAGCCTTCCACAGGACACCAGGACCGCCGCGACAGTCTGACCCAGTTCAAACCACGGGGCAGAGCAGAACACCCACCGTGCGAGTGGGCCTACGAAGTCAAAGGCTTAGGGCGAGAAACCTGGCACATTTCCCTTGACTTCAGAATGGCTTCACGGTACGAGGAAGGGCTTCGCACTACATGGGGTCATCAGTCTAAATGAATTTAGTTTAATGAAGATGATGATTGCAAATTCGAGGAAAATGTGTGCCCAATAAAAGGTTGTTCTGATGGATTTCTCACGCCCTCCAATTAGCAGACGTCTCCAGGTTTCCAGCAGGGAGCCAATCACACTCCTTCCTGCTCCCAGCGCCCCCGCTCCAGTGAGCAGCAGCGACTGCTGGCAGAAGGAAAGCTGCCGACTGTGGTGGGACCCCCTCTGAGACCACCGCAGGGCTTTAAACAGCTGACACCCCACTGACACCCCACCTCTTCCCCATCCACAGCTTCAGTCCTCTACTCCAGGCTTGGACCAATTTATGTTAAGCTTTGAATACGGATCAAAAGAACTTATGTTGAGAGCCAGATCTTTTTTTTTTCTTATTCTGAGCTTCTCCAGAACAATCAGATCTCTTTCCCAGGTATCGCTTGTGGGTTCTTGTCACCGAACAGATGCGAGTCTGTACAGGCGCCTTCCAAAAGTCCAGCAGTTAAACACGGAGCTACAGTTAACACACAAAGTGTGACCTGCCGCCCGGAGTATAAATACTGCATGGCTACAGAAGGGCAGGCAGCGGCATGTCCACCTCAGTCCAGTCTCGGAAGCTCTGCAGGGCTGGGCCTGGTCAGTTCTGTGATGGGAGACTTCCAATCACACTGACTGGAACTCCCGAGCAACCCTGTCATGAAAGATCCCAGGGCACTGTTCATGGGCCAGAGGTGTCACCCTGGTGTCCTGTCTCAATTCCTCTTTGAACATGAACAATGTGGCCTCCCTAAAGCCCCGCGTTAATTCATGTGGTGAAGTAGTGTCTGTCTTCTAGTCCTGATCTGCAGCGCAGATGTGCGTCACCAGCAAGCCTGCTGGACTTTGTAGAGAACAAGACTCTTTGTTTCTGCCGAGCTGAAGAGCACGAAGCCAAGAACACGAGGTGCTCAGAACAGCGCTGCTTTTAATAACGTTAAAATGTTTATGAGTTACTTTCAGTATTAACTTATTTTTAAAAATGGAAAATGTCATTACCCTGTAACTATGCAATAAAGCTGAACTTGACTTTTGTGACCTAAAATGGGTAAGTTTATTGTTTATGTCCAACCGTTTCACAATGCAAAACTAACTTCTCAGCTCCTGTACATGGAAGCCACTGGGCGGCCCGTACCTCTTTGTCCAAAATACTGCTGTACTCCACGTAGTCATTGATGAGGCTGGCTGGTCCCATGATCTGAGCCTTGGTTTTCACCCAGTCCAGAGAGAACAAGAAGGAGTACAGCTCCTATATGGTAAAGCACAACATTTGCGTTTTCCTGATGACAGTAGCAATTTCACGGGAGGCGAGGCTGCCAAGTGTGTGCAATTCAGTAGCAGCCCACACGGCACGATTCAGCACGCAGTCTTTTCAACTGGCCGCAACAGCTCTCTGGGGACAGCAAAGTGTTTTGAATGGCCACTAAACACCTCCCCCCGTCCAAGACTAAAACATCTCTCAGGCATGTAACGACTGTGCGGTCTTCCCAATCTGTGAAATTGGACTGAATGTGACATTTTTAACCCATTTAACCCCAAGAAATGAATGCCTCTTGCTAGAGGCAGCATAAGGGCAGCAGGTAGTATCAGAGTGAGTATGAAAGCAAAATAGCTCAGCAGACCAGTGTTACAGTGCAGGGCTTGGAAGCACCTGACAAAAAACTCAGGGCCTAACGAACCAGTGTACCGGACTTAGAAAATAGTCACTTAAGCCACATTAGGCAATGCAAATGCTCACTGAACAACACACAAGCAGAGGAGCAGATTAACAGACCAACATTATCAACAAACATGAAACGGGCAATCTTCAGCTGTATGTATCCTGCAGGTATATATACAGCAGTGGTCTCCAACCCTGGTCCTGGAACAATTATCTATGTCACTTATTATCTTCCTACTCCCCACCTCACAAAGTTCATCCACGGACTCTGGTCTCCTGTCTGTCCCCCAAGCCTGTCTACACTCTATGGGTGACAGAGCCCTCTTCTGCTGCACCCCAAAGCTCTGGAATTGGATTCCCAAGGATATCAGGGAGTCACCTTCCCTGAGTGCTTTCAAATCCAGACTCAAAATCTTCTTCTTCAGAAGGGCTTTTATCTAATTGATGTCTGTCTGCCTCTTTGCATCTTCTATCACATTATAAACCCTTCTGTTTCTTTGTGCTAATTTAAACCCCTATCTTTGATGCCGTTTTCATCATTTTAACTTTTTTCTTTTACTGTATATAAAATATAGTCTTTTATTATTTATGTTAAGCAATGAGCTTCACTGAATCAATTACTTAATTGGTTAATTTGATTAACTGTTCAATTCCTTAAACAACTGTTCCCAATTTGCTTAAATGACTGGTGATTTAAAATGTAAATAACTAAGATATAAATAACTGGATTGGGGGCTCTCCAGGACCAAGGTTGGTCCAGTATATCCAGCCCTTAGGTCTCCAAGTAAGTTACGTCTTACAGTACAGTATACTGAAACTCCAGCGAGAAGTGCCTAAACAACAGGAGTTAGTCCTGAATGAGCAGCTCACCTCGTGCAGATTCCCTCTGGCCATGTGATATCCCAGATACCTGTACCAGTACAGACAGTCCTCATCGCCTGCTGTGGGATGGGCGTTTTTATAATACTTCTGATACTGATGGACCACTTTGGAATGCAGCTCCTGGTCAAAGAAAAAGAGATTCGCTTTACATATTCAGCTAGTCCTGAAATGAGCAGCGAGCTGAAAGAGCTCAGAAGGCCCACAGGGTGATCATGAGTTTGTCTCGCCAATCAATTCCATCCTGTCATTCGTCCAACAACTTGTTTTTTCCCCAGCATTCCCAAGTCTGAGCTACACCAGCCCTGCAGTTAACCCCATTAGCAGACAGCGAAAACCAAATAAAAGCTTAAAAAGTCATTTTAATTTTGAAATCACCAATTCCATCCTAGCGACACAATTTAGAATTGCCTACATTTATGACCTGCTCGCGCGCTACAAGCCCTGAGGTACTGTGGGGGCTCACCTGTCTGAGGCACTTGAGACACTCGCTCCAAGCTCCCCAGTACAAGGCAGTGTGCACGGAATGGAGAGAACGTGCCTCTCTGCCAGCTCCCTGCGATGTCCCAGACCAAACCCTGGCCAGCTGTGCGTCACGGCCTGTGCAGCTACTGACGGGATCCTGGCTACACATCTGAGCTACACTGTAAGGCTCACCTGCTCCTCGGCAACCAACGTTATTGCTTGAGCTTCTCCAGAAGCCTCACAAAACTGCCCGCTAAAGAGTTAGCCGAGACACTATTTTAAAATTATTTCTAAATCATCTTGATTTTATGCTCAGATAACACAATCCTTCTCCATGCTTTTACTCCTGGCTACCTTCTTCCTTATACAGCTCATGTAGAAAACTAACTCTGCAAGGCGCCAACCAATGGAAGTGTTCACTCCAGCACTTAAATATCACAGAGCCCCTAAGGAGAGAGTGAATACTGGGAACATACTGCACCAAAACACTGTTGAGGGACTGAAGGCATGTTGAAAAGGAGTTCTGCAACAGCTGGACTGAGAAAATGCACAACAGTGCGTTCTTGCATCATGAGCAGCAGATACGATGGCTAGTGAGTAGAAAGGGAGTGGACAGCACAAATTTCACCAAGGCGGTGTTGAGAAGGTGAAAAGCATGTTAATAACTGGTCGAGCAGCTCAGCTGAGAAACTCCCTGAAAGCACCGGAAGAAACTCAGCACTGTTATTACTTGTAGCGATTTTACAGAATATTTGCAAGTAATAAATGCAAATCATTCGGCCCCTGACGAATCTTTGTCATTCATTTAAATTCCTACTTAAAAAAAACGAATGGACATTTTTTTTTAAAATGGGCTGAAGTCGTTCAAGGGGGTTCAGGTCAGCAGGCGTAGGCTGCAAAGGAACAAGTAAAGGTTTATTCCCTGCTGAAAAGAGAAGAAAAGAAACGCAGCGTTTCGGCTGTGGAGCCCTCTTCGGGTGTGGAAGCGGGATCGCACCTGAATCCTGTAGCGGTTCTGCTCGGTGAGGAAGTCCAGCTGCAGATCGTGGAGGTAATAGAGATAAGGCGTCTTGTTGGAATCGCGGAACAGCAAGGATTTGTTCACAAACTCCTGGAGGATATCCTCAACTTCCTCAGGTTCCAGATCCCACAGAACAGACAGGACCTATTACGGAAAAACATGCCGAACACAGCGTGACTCGCTGGATTTGTTTTTTCAGAATCCATCACATAACGGTACACTCAAAGAAAGCTGTGAAAGAAATCACGACCTATGCCATCTAATATTCATACTGCAGGCAAAAAATATTTTATTAAAAAAAACTGGTGAGAAAGAAACTAGGGCACAAATACCCAGAAGAAAGAAGTCAAAATTGCCACTGAATGCAGAAACGCGGGGCGATTCGTAATTCGTCTTGGGGTTAGAGATGGAGAAACCATGGCTAATGGGACACTAGGTCAGGGAACGAACCTGGAAAAACACTTGAAAGATGACGCGAACTGAAAATTACACAGCGAAGACCGGAATCTTCCTGCCACACAATTAAACCAAATTGAAAAGAGTGCTTTCTGCTCGCCAGGCCATAAAGACTGAAATAACTCTCCATTACCTCCTGAAAGGGGCTTTTAATATTAGCTGTCATCCTGCACACTAATGCCTGTGTCTGGGCTCTGGGGCCCAGTCTTACCTTCACCGGCACTTTCACATCCTTCTCAAGGACAGTCAGGTCTTTGTAAAAGTCCTTGTGGTCGTCCGGCAGGACCTCGATGCTGGCGGACATGGCCTGATCCAAGGCTTCGTAGTCGTAAGAGGTGGACTTGCGAATCCTTTTGAACTGCTTGTTCTGCAGCTGCCGGAGGTAGTAAGCCCAGCGGTCCGGAAACTCGCGCAGCAGGGCTCCAATCAGGGACACGACCAGAGGCGAGCCTGGAGGAACACCGGACAGCGGAGTCAGCCACCGTGGAAACCACCGCAGCCACCAGCACTGGTGCCCTGGAAGAGAGTGGGCACGTTTGCCTGGCCAGGGAGAGCAGCACGGACAACTTAGACACCTCTTAACGCAGACAGCAGGTCTTTCGACTGCGGAGTACCTGGAGAAAACCCACATGGACAGGAAGAACATGCACGCGCCACACAAAAAGGAGGCCCGGACTGGAATTCAACTCATGACACCAGGGCACCGTCGGATGGCAAGACAGAGATGCAATGAGCTGACGAACACTTGAGAAAATGTGTGGCGACAACCTCAAACGTCAAAGCGGAACAAGCGGACGCATCCCGCGCTGAAAGGGATATCCGGCAAAAGAAGCCGAACCTTCTTATCTTTGTGTAAAAAGCTACCAATCCATGTGGTTGCAGCCGATACGTTGGCTTCTTCAAGAAACAGTTACTAAGAGACGATCCTGGGATCACAGCTGCAGAAAAACAACATTTCAAGGGGCTGGATGGACAGAAAGGACTCCTCTCATCTGTAGCCTCTCTCATATTTTTTGTATGATATTATGTATGACAATGCAGCTCATTCACATTATAATTTAGATTAAAACCTTCAATTTACAGCATGACTAGAATTCTTTCCTGCTAGCAAACGCAAGCACAATTTTGTCTAAAGTCTTGTGAAACAGGGAGATAAATACACCACAAAACCACATGGTCACTGTGCTAAATTTGTATATTTATTTATTTTATTTTGTATGGCGTTGATATGGCCTTTAACTTCTCAAAGTGCTTTACAGTAGGATAAAAAAGTTCAAAAGGAGAAGAGGTAACATCAGCACAATTAAAAATGAGTTTAGAATGCAGAAATGTAATGCCTGTAAATACTGAAAGGTGAAATAATGCAAATAAGGACATTCAGCAGGACTTTTTCTAAACCACCAGACGTCCACTGATGTTGCATTTTACCTCTTTATTTTCTGCAGTTTTAGGAAGCTGAATTATTTCTAACTGCTCCACCCTTCACTACCAGAAAAATGAGACTCAATAGATATGTACAACAAAATGGCAAAAGAAAAATGCTCCAGCAAACCCTTAATGTTGAACTTCCCCACCAAAAGTCCCATCATGACCGCAAACTTCTTCTCTGTATTTCAAGTTCATAAAATAAACGAACATCCTGAAACATCTCGTTCCATTTTAATTCACATACCACTGCACATGGACAGATATCACAGAGTGAACCTGCTGTGGCTGGCCCTGCTGCCACAGTATAGTCACAAATTATTAATACAAGAAAGTAGGGCAGAAAATAAATTAATACTTTGTTCAACACCTTTGGGGAAACGCAAGCAGAAATACTAGGGGCATAATAAATGGCCTATGCATACTATACGAGACACTTTTCTAAATACATGCAGAAAAAGAACACCTTCAATTAAATGAGAAAATGCATAATTTATGAAGTCAAATATCACTTGGTAATAAGATATATTTTGACCCCCATTGTTCTCCACATATTTTACATGACGTGACCTCAGTCAATGATTTTGCCGACTCTTTTCTTACGGCCCATGTATGGCAAGAACAGGTCACTCCCATGTCAATTCTGCCTGCTCCACACATGGACTCTGCTGGGGCTTAAGGAAAGCCCTGGCAGGGGGTCGCCTTCCACTCCTCTCCAGCAAGCACGCTGCGCTGCCATCGCCAGGCCGCTGGGGGACCCGGCGTGGCGCGGCGCCCGTACCTTTGCACTCCTGCACGATCTGGCGCGCCTGCTCTGGCAGCGCCGCCACCTTCTTGCTCACAAACACAGCCAGGACCTCCAGCGCCTTGTCCTCCTCCAGGCCGCGGCCCACTGACACCTCGAACTTCTGGCCTGTGGAGAGGCGCCAGTACAGGAGAAACACAGTTAGGACCAAACCACCAGCGTCCCACCTGAGCAACCCGCCCACTGCAACTTCTAACAGAGAGCCCCTTATCCCCATCTCCCCGTTTTGAAAGCCACTTGCATCTTGAGCTCTCCGAGACAACAAAATCACACACCATTACTTGTCCAACTTCTTTTACACGCGAGACATGGAAACTGCTGGAACTAGAGGATCGCCTACAGGGAAATACGATCTGAGGAGAGGGTCAGCTCAGATTTAGAAAAGGTAGGATTGGCCTAACTTAGAATTAGAGCTCATTGAAAAAGCAGCAACAGTACTTGATACCCAAGCGTATGTGGCATAGTTTGATTTTCAGGAGGCCTGCAATTCAATTCCTCATAGAAGATGAATTGATTTGAGAACTGGTTAATAGAAAACAGGAAAGACAAGGGATGAACTTTAGCAGAGTACCACAGGGGTCTGTACTAGGACCACTGCTCTTCCTTATCAATATTAATTAGCCAAATTTGGGTGTATTTAGTAAATTAGTCAAATTTGTAGATGATAACAAATAGAAGGTTTATCAAACATTGTACACGCAGCAGATGAAATTCAAAAAGGTATAATTCAGGACCTGGCATACCAGGACATCAAAACCACCTGTGAGCAGACAGTCACAAGCTCAGAAGCCCCTTGCTGATCAATTCTAATAATTGATCACCACGGTCAGGCCTGCAGCGCACCTGCCACGCAGTCCGTCAGGCTCCGGTCCCGCGTGGTGAGCAGAACTCGGCACTGGATGTCAAAGGCCCGCAGAACCGCGCCGTCCCAGACGTCATCCAGAATGAGGAGCGACCTGAGGCGCACAACGGCAGGAAGGACAAGAAAGCCGAGCTCACTCACAGCGGCTCCTGGCCGGAGCGTCCCCCCCGATACCGGCGGATTCTGCCACGGCAAAAAGGGATGAACACTCCTGCCTGCAGCAGCTACTCGTCTTTACTGCTCTTTTAACTTCTTTCAACAATAACACTGCTCCAGTCTGGGCATTCGGGTTTGGATGAGAAATATTCACTTTAAAAAATGCTGATAGGTCACGTGTAAGGCAACAGAAGGAAGGGGGAAGGGGGTGAATACTTTTGAAAAGTACTGCATCACAAAGCATCTAATCCTCCAGCCCCCAATCCTCAGTTCCGGGACTTATTTTGAAATGGCTTGATGGAGTTAAAACCGAGACGGCGAATCTACTCGGGGTGGAAGCCGGGGGCTCCGATATTCCGAGCGCTGCTGGGGTTCCGGTCCTTGCCGTGGATACGCTGGAGGTGGGTGCACACACCTGGGGTACTTGCGGATCATGAGGAACCGCAGGCGGTCTTTGGCTTCCTCGATAGTGCTGGGGGGTCTCTGGCAAAACTGGGAGTCCAGGTCCAAGCGGAAGCAGAGAGACTGCATCTTCACCAGTAGTCCTGCCTTGTCCAGCTGCCCCACAGCCAGCCAGTGGACCCCTCCGGGAAAGCACACTGTCAGGAGGGGAAGCGAACAGGGGGATAAAGTGCCATGCACACACACCAATGCCCAAAACTGTATTTTTGCTGAAAGCATGGATATGCATATGCATATAATGATAAGGATTTAATGATAAAGGGATTCGGCACTTCAATAACAAACGCTGCCCGCTTGGAGCTGCACAGTATCTGGTTGGTTAAGCCCAGTCTCTTGCACCACGTGAGGCATGAGCGTGGATCGGAGACCCACCTGTCAGCAGCTCGTTGTCCCGGACGGCCTCCGCTGCCAGCACGGACTTCCCGAAGCCGGCCATGCCGAACACCGTCACCCAGCCCGGTGCCGCCAGCAGCTTGTACAGCTTCTCCCGGATCCGGTTGACCAGCTCGGGCCGCTTGACAAACACCACGGGCCTCTGAGGGACGCCCCCTTCCCTGAGCACGGCCTGCACTGGAACACACAGGCGGGCGTCACCCCCAGCCAGCCCCAGAGAATAGCACCCAACCTGAGGAATCTGCCTTTAAGACTAGCACACATCTCGGGGACTCTGCCTAGCATTAGGCCACAGCACTCGGGGGGCTCTGCTGCGGCTAACCCTGCACTGCGCAACTACCAGCCTGCGTGAGTTCAGAGCACCAGAACACTGAAAATGTCTCATGAATGGCTGCTCTGAAAAACAAAGGAGAATGACATGACTCGCCACTTGTTTAGCATGAAGGGAGCTGACTTTGCACAGTGTGTTAATGAATCTAGGCCCATTGTAGACGGAGAGAACACTTTGCCTCCACAAGGCAGTTAGCAAGGAGAAGTTCTTAGAACTTTTACAATCCTGGACTTGAAACTACGCCTCCCCCATTCCGGGCCCTCATTTACTGAATGCGCTCCAGAGCGGTGGGGGGTGGACGTTTCCTTCTGCCTACTGCCTGAACCACACATGCCAAAGAACAACCTGATTTGCATAAGCCCAAACCCTGCTTGATATCAAAGACAAAAAGCTAGTGTCAAAGTCAAATGCCCAAAATGAGCACAGAAACGTCTGGGACTACCCCAGCGCCTCAGCCACTCAAACAGCAAAGACCAAAAGTAAAGAGCAAAGGCCGCTCCTTATTGGGGGGAGGATTGTCGGCTTTTGGAAAAAAACAATTCTGCAGCAATTCCAGCGAGGGAGACGAGCCGGTCCTCCGATCGGCACCCACTCTCCTTCAAGCTGCTGTGGAGCTCAGGGCGTTTCGACTGGCTCACAGGTGTGACAGGCAGCGTGTCTGCGGGTCCCCTCCCTCACCCTGCAGGAAACAGGCTCGCTGCTGGAAAGTCTGGAGTGACACAACTGGCAATTTCCACACCGCACAGCGAAGAGATGACTGGCGGTTCAAGATGGTACAATAAAAAAATATTTAATGCTACAAAACACAGAAAACAAAAATCTCCAGTTTGCAATAAAACAGCACGACAGAGCGCAAAGTGTAGGAAGGGAAAGGATGTAACCTTGGACAAAGCAACAGAGCTGAGCGGTCTCACAGACAAGATTGTGAGAGGTGGTTCCAGTGGGTTACCAATCAACAGGTTAATACTTTCTAATTTGAAAACGCTATGTGAAAAATTATTTAAAAAATCTGTTTAGCAACATATGCAAAGCATAAGGGCAGGATTTTCAGAAAAAGCTCCTCAATAAATTGTGTGCATGAATACAGTGCATATTTTGACTATTTTGACTACTTTATAGAGGTACAGACAAATCAAATTGTCCTTTGACAAAATAAGTGATAAAGTGTTGTTTCTGGACTTACAGAAAGAGTTGACGGGTCCATCGTTTTTCTATATATTCAAACATTTGAGATATTTATATTAATGCCAACACATTGATCAATTCTCCTTTGCAAGTGCCCAAACTCCAGTCTTGAAATACATTAACAAGCAATAACCCATGCAAACCCACAACTCTAAAACTGACAGAGATGTGGAAGAGGTACTATACCAGCTAGAACTTTAGGGGCTGGCTTTGCTCCTTGAAAGGGATTATGTCAAGTGTTAAGTATTCACCAACGCCGGGGCATCAAAGGCAGATTAAAGGAAAACCGATGGTCTTCAAGAGTAAGAAATGTGCAGACAGGACACACATTAAGGGCATGGTGGCGGTTCAGATCCAGACTGGAAGACTGACAGACGAGCATTACTCTGAACTATCTTGACTACCAACATCACAGAATGAAAAATGTCCCGGGGCAGGAGAGGCCAGGCTGGCACCTTTACTGCGCAGGGGGATCAAGTCAGCAGACCACACAGCACTAGGACCTGAACAGACCTCGGGATGTGAAGTTATTAGGAAGCACACATCCTCAAGAACAGAAGGCTTTCCACATCTTGACACGAACAGCGGTGCGAGTGTGGAGCGGGCTGCCCAGCCCTGTGGTTGATGCTGATACCCTGGCGCCCTGCAGGCAACAGCTGGAGGATATCCTTGGCTCTATTCGCTACCGACGTGTTTCAAGACTGGAGTTTGGACAGTCTAGAAGGGGGTCAAAGGAGCTCCTCTTCTCATTTATATCCCGTTTATGTTCTTACCAAACAAACACTGCCCCATTCTCTCTTCACTCCCTCTCCCGAGTTCCTGGTCGTTCTCATCCCTGAACTACCCATCGAAGCCATTCATTGCATTTGGCGTACTGCACTACGTATTGCATAGACCCTGGACACATAGCAGCTCTATTTATATTGAGCTCTGTCTGAGTTTATTTTATTCAATTTCTATTGCACTGTTATTTATTATGTAACCTTATTTTGAAACTTTAATTTTGTGATTTTTACCTCCCCCGGTGAGCTCTTAGAAAAGACATTTCATTGCCAGCAACTACTGGTGCACGCTGTATTGTTGTGCATTTGATAAATAAACTTTGATTGAACGCATAAAAGTGCAGTTACTAATCACCGTTCAGCGCCTGCTCAGACAGCACCCGTGATCTTTGTTATACCATTGCGAGCTCCTGCAACCAGCAGATACAGCACTGTGCTCAGTGGTGCTCCTGCTGGACCGTAGTCAATGTCTCCTTCACCAGCAGGTGACGTAGTGCTAGATAGACGCTGTTTTCCCTCTGCGCTGCAATGGCTCAGCACTTCAGCATGTCCGCCTCACTCTTTCGCGTCTCTTGTCATTTCTACTTCTTTGTCCTATAGCTCAATGATTACTTTTTGCTGCATTTATTTGAGGTATTATTGCATATTTTGTAAATCATCCTGGATTAGAGCACCTGCTAAACTAAATAACAATGAAACCAGACTTTGCAGGAAAGGGCTGAACACTAATCTAGTCTCGCCAGCAGCTCAAGAAGTTGTCCAGACAAGTATGCTTTTTAACAGAACACGTGCACAGTTCTCCGCACAATGATCGCTGTTACAATGACTGAAGTCACAGCTCATGACAAAGTCACCCTAAACCCCAGATGGCAGTGAACGATTTGCACTCAACTGGGATCTAGTGAAGACACAGGGGCTGCTAATGACTGTATAAAGGGAAACATGCAGTTGGAAAATAAACACTGAAGGAGCTCTATAATAATAACTCTATATTTGGAATCCCTGGTCTGCATACATTACACAATAAGACTGCACTGCACAACACAGATATTTTTCGAATACAGGTGATAACGCAGGAAACCCGCTGCGCGACCTCACCTCCGGGACTCTCGCCATCTGGGAAGCTCTTGTCGGCTCTGGGCGAGATCAGAGGAAGGTCCTTCTGCAGCAGGGAGGCGAGGTCACTGTAGCTCTCGCGGATCAGAGCGTTGTAGAGAGAGACGTAGGCATGGTTATCCTTCCTTAAAATCAAATCGATCAAGGCGGCCGCTTGCTCCCTCCGGGTTGCCTGTCGGTCGAGAGGAAAAAGGAAATTAAACACAAAGGTACAGAACACAGGGTTAAGAGTAGACCAGGTGAATGTCATCATGCTGAAAGCTGTTGATCTTAAACAGCAGATCTTCAATAGGTTTGCCATGACACCTTGAGAAAACAAATCGTTTTATTTTTTTTGAGCACCTCTGTTACTTTTCTTTGCCACTTTGCGGGACACCAAGTTACACCCAGGGCTACTTTCACCCAGGGACGCCAGTTCATGACAGAACACACACAGTCACACACACTTGTAATGGGGACAATTAAACTCTCAATGAATAGAACTAATGAAGCAATAGCAGAGACACCTGACAACACGCCGAGATGGAGTAAGACTTTTAATCTCATAATGGAAACTTTTAGGCTTCTGACAAGGTCAAAAAATACTGCAACTGTGGAAAATGGAGCAAACTGCAGATATAAGCGCCCGCTGTTTCAGATACAGGACATCATAAAAGAAAGCAGATTATTACTGGCCAGGGTCACAGAAACCTCTCCAGGAAACACAGGTCACAAATCAGGACACCGCCAACTGCAGGGCATACATGACTGTCCTGACTGTACACACAGAGGCAATCAAGATAAGAAGCAGGAGGACACAGGAGTGCCCAGAGACAGAACACGCAGGGCTCCATACAGAAGGCACCCAACTGTAGAAAGCACAGAAACTGAAAGTGCTTGCTGCTCCTCTACTGTGCTACCCACATATCTCTCCCATGGGACAATGGCAGTTAAACTATTTCACAAGACACAGGTTAAAAACACGTCCGGCGCTCATCACACCAACACAGCAGCGTGAAAAGAGGAAGGAAACACATAGCAGCTCCACCAGAAAATGCACACTGTAAAAAGTGCTGTGACTTGTCAGCTGCTCTTCTTTCATTCAAGGCTTGTGAGGGATCAGGTGTCAAAAGCACTCCTGTTGGGAGAGCCATAAGCCCATTCAAGAACATGGGATGGAAAGGCTCATCAGCTGACTCCAAGATCATAAGAAACGTTGTGTTCTCATGTCTCTGTATGACCAATGTGCACACAAAACAATGAGATCTGCTGCTAAACGGCCTATTCACATTGTTTTCTCATGTCCTTACAGCCTAAACCGCTAACAACTGCATTATTTTTACTTTTTCAGTCAGGTGAAATTTGATCATTACTACTAATAAACTTTTGTGCCGAGTGCTTTTCATGATGTTAAATTCAAGGCTCCTCATTATAATTGGACCAATCAAAAATACCGATATGGGAACACACAAATAACAGCAAATCAAACGAATACAAGTGTGCCAATGAGCTGGAAGACAGGAGCCAAAAGTGCTGACTGTCTTGCGAGATCTGATCCGTGGTGGGAGATCACTTTGCAACCTCGGAGCAATGGGACAGAAAGCAGACCCTCGGGGTCCCCCACAGGGTCCGGAGCCTCGCATTGGGGACTGAAATAAGAGTCTAAAGAGCACGTAGATGTGTAGGGGATTAACACTTCACTCATCTCATGAGGAGCCAAACTGTTCACGCATGCATTTTAGTTTTAGTTCAGTTCTGAGCAGCCTGAGCTGTTAATATGCTGCAACTTGAAAATCATGTTTTGGAAACCCAAGAGAGCACTCTATCAAAATAGTCTGCTAAGACAAAAGCACGCATTAGCTTTTCTGTATTAGGTTGAGAGCCATATAAATGGATACAAGTGATATTATGAACATGATAAATGTCACTTTTACAACATAATGAACATGAGCTTCATATTCAAGGTTTGGATCAAAGACGCCAACATTTCTAACTGGAGTTGCTTGACAGACCAGGACCATCAATACTCAAGCTAAGACTGACACATTCAGTAAGATGTTAAATTAACCTCAGAGGATTAAAGAATATGTTAGCTCATAAACTCTGGGGGGGGGAAGGGTTCCAGAATTACTCTTCCCTTCTTCAATCAGTTTCCCACAACATGCTGTACTTGTGACAGTCAGTGCATTTCACAGGACTGCTGGTGTAGCTTAAAAGCTTGTAAATGAACAGAGTGCTTTATCTACGTTCCAAGTTTAGACCCATGAGGTTTCATGAAGTGAAGCCTGTTGTTGTACCAAGTGGAGTGATGTGAATATGGGATTTCTCTCCTTTCGCCCACAGCCAAGCAATCAGAAATGTCACCCAGGATCGAACCTTAAACATCAAGGAGCACTCAAGTCTAGTCAGCTGAGGGACACCAACAGGAGGACTGAATATGGACTCTAGGTTAAAATACCGGAGGCTCAACACTAAGCTTCTGAAAAAGGAAACACACCTTGGCTTTGACGGTCTCCTCTTCATCTGCGCTGAGCACCTCATCGCTAACCATGTGGTCCATGAGGTAGAGGGCCTTGATATCGTCCTCCAGTTTGGACCTGGAGCACAACAGCCTGCTGCGAGCCTGCTCCTCCATGACCTCTCCGCTGGAAACAACACATGCAGCTCTCACTCCGGCCAGGAGACACCAGCGGCACCAGTAAGACAGCTGACGTCAGGCTGTACAAACAAAAGAAAAGCAACAAGACACATCACAGCAGCTGGCCTATAACCAGACCTAAAGCAGCCAGCAGCCATATCACCCTGCAGCTCACCACTGGCAGCCCACTGCAGCTCAGCAGTTTGAGCCTGGTCAGTACCTGGATGGGAGACTCCTGGGAAAGCTAAGGTTGCTGCTGGAAGAAGAGGTGTTAGTGGGGCCAGTAGGGGGCGCTCACCCTGCGGTCTGTGTGGGTCCTAATGCCCCAGTATAGTGACGGGGACACTATACTGTAAAAAGGTGGCGTCCTTCGGATGAGACGTAAAACTGAGGTCCTGACTCTCTGTGGTCATTAAAAATCGTAGGGTGTTTCTTGAAAAGAGTAGGGGTGTTACCCTGGCTTCCTGGCCAAATTTCTCCCTGGCCTTTACCAGTCTTGGCCTCCTAATAATCCCCATCTCTGAACTGGCTTCATCACTCTGCTCTCCTCCCCACTGAGAGCTGGTGTGTGGGGAGAGGACTGGTGGGGCTGCACACTGGTGGTGGTGGAGGAGATTCCCATTACCTGTAAAGCACTTTGAGTGTCCAGAAAAGCGCGATATAATAAGTGTAAGGAATTTGTTTAGACTTTGCAGAATTTACACTTTAAAAACAACCAGACTAAATTTGACCATATTAAAAAAGGAAAAGATAAATGTTTATTTGAGGTTCTGAAAAACAGCCAAAGATATTTAAACATATTGCTACAATTATGGCAATTGAGTTTGTGTGCAAGAATCACATGGACAGTGACAATTTGCAAAGGCTTTCTTCAAAACGGAAATAAAATACAGATGGCATTAAACCTACCTAATAACAACATTTGGAAGCAGCGCGAAAATAACCTATACGGAACAAAGTTCACTTGACAAGTTTACACTTGAGTCATTTTGAAGTAGTACTGTCTCTTTCACTTTTTGCCTGAACTACAAATATAAGAACATTAGCTGAAAGTTTTTCCGAAGCAATCATTTCTCTTAGCAGCTGATAAAGGTAAAACGCCGTTTCAGATTGAAACCTATTTTCTCTCGTCACTGTTCCAAGATGAGATGTAGTACCAAATCTATCGATTTCTCCACACCTATAGTGGAGACCTGTTTCACTTTGCCAAGCTATTTCTGTATTTCCGAACAAAGCATGCTTTGCATATTTATATTTTCTATTTATAACTAAATGTTACCATATCATACTTTAACTTTACTTAACTTTTACTTTATCATAAAAATAAGTCACGTAAGAGGACTGTAGAACTTTTAAAACAGGTTGAGAGGAAGGTCTGCACTACTAGGAAATGTAGAAATTTTGTTTTCTACATGCAAGTCAGCATTTCGGGTAAAACGGAAAAAAATGCTGACATGCTTGGGCGATACTGCTGTTTTAAAGGTAAAATTCGTTAGTTGATTTGACCAAAAGAGCAGTCACAACGAAGGAACGGAGTTAAAAAAACGAGGGATTTGTTTCAAATACTGAAGATAATATTCCTGTGAGAAGCAGGCTGTAAATACCCAAGAATGAACTACTCTCTGTACTGAACTGAAAGACATTTAAATCAATTGTCGTGAAATTACAGAAAGAACACCGTCAGTTAGCCTTCGAGTGCAAATCCAGAGTACGTGTTTAACATTTAAAAAGTCACCATAAAAACACATTTCCTCTTAGATAGCACCTCTTTTGCATCTATATAAACGGGCAAGGTTTATCAGATCTCAGAACCTGAGATCAACGTCCAAATCGGTCGGGCTGATTATAATGAACTACCAGTTGTTGAATTACATAAAAAATAAATTTCTCACAAGTCCCCAACAAATTAAAGACGCTTACCAGAAGGGGTGTTGTTTTCTTTGCATCTCAATTTCCTCTACATCGTCTATAGTCTCATGTCCGATGCAATTCAGGGTTTCAGAAACTATTTCCAGCTCCTCCCTGTTCAGTTTCTGTTTACATGTTTCAAGAAAGAACGCCTCCCTTACGTCAGACCAGTTTAAATGCACTTCCTGGAGTGGAAACAACTTCCTGGTTTGGCCATCCAATTGGCTGCGCGCCCTTGGGTCACATGATACGCGGGGGACTCCGCCTACCTCTGCTGTATCTGGGCAGAGCAGTGAGTTCCATAGGGCAACATGGAATGTGCATTAATAATGTCTTTTATAATGAGACTCTGTATGCTCTCTGTGCATGAAGATAAAGATGTGCAAATGTGCCGATATTGACCCAATGCATTGTGCGATTACCGATTGTGCATTGTGCGATTAAGTTAATTTTAATTAAACGGCTTAAACGAACGTGGAAATAATAATTACAATTAATTATTTCGCTCATTTTAATAATTATCCCTGAGACTGAGGAAGAGCGTTTATAAATCAAGGTCTAGCCGTTAAACCCCGTCCACCCCCTCGACTCTCACGCCTCGTGGTAGACAATGTCTTCACAACAGCAACACATTTCATCACCATGGCTCAGACACAGGAATACAGAGCGCTCGCTAAAATACACCAGCTGTATGGCGACCTGAAACAAGATGCGCCCGTTTGACGAAAGCAGAAGACACTCGAGTGGTCTGGGTTCCTCTTGGGCACTATGCTCAGGAAGCAGCCCAAGAGCCCGTGAGACTCTGCGAGGCGCCCAGTACAGGTGAGTGACCAGGTATTTCACTCCCTCACACTGCTTGCACACCTGTCAGCTCCCATGGAGTCAACTGTTCTCATGTCATTTCAGCTTCCTCAATCTGGCTCACAGGCGCAAGACCTCTGAGAGGAGCACCTAGCGTTCCGATGAGACAAGCTGCCTTCTTCAGAGGAAGATGAGCTGCCACAGAAGGCTCTCGGAAGAAATGGAGCTGCCCTTCAGCCATGTGTAACTGGGGACAGCGCAGATAACGCCTGATCAGAATCGTCCTCCTGTATTGGAGAACTGCAGTGTTTCTCTGTCAGTAGTCTGTATTTCACATCTGCACCCATGGGTGTATGGCGGACGGACCCTGGTCAGGCCAACTGCCAAGGCCCACACCTGCAGCCTGAGTTTGGAAAGAAAACCTCCCAGTGACATGCCAGCCAAAACGTGCTTTTAGAGTAAGGTATGCTCTGGCCAGTTACTTATCTCTCACTTAATAAGTGAGGCGCAGTAGAAGCACTGGACCACAGTAAAAAACAATGTATGTGAGATACTGAACAACAAGGTTTAACTATTTGATAGGACAACAGAAAGATAACGGGTAATGAGATTTTGTCAACTGTTTCAAAATCTCTAAATATCAAAAACCTAATACAATTGGAGAGACTTTTTCATTACATATATACCCCAAAACAGTGGTAGTAATAATAATAATAATAATAATAATTATTATTATTCCTTACACTTATATAGCACTTTTCTGGACACTCCACTCAAAGCTCTTTACAGGTAATGGGATCTCCTCCACCACCACCACTGTGCAGCCCCACCTGGATGATGAGCCAGTCCGCTCCCCACACACCAGCTCTCAGAGGGGAGGAGAGCAGAGTGATGGAGCCAGTTCAGAGATGGGGATTATTAGGAGGCCATGACTGGTAAAGGCCAGGGGGAAATTTGGCCAGGACACCGGGGTTACACCCCTACTCTTTCCGGGAAACACCCTAGGATTTTTAATGACCACAGAGAGTCAGGACTGCGGTTTTATGTCTCATCACATTTTACATAAACTCATTTTTACAGTATAGTGTCCCCATCACTTTACTGGGGCATTAGGACCCACACAGACTGTAGGGTGAGCGCCCCCTGCTGGCCCCACTAACACCTCTTCCAGCAGCAACTTTAGCTTTCCAGGAGGTCTCCCATCCAGGTACTGACCAGGCTCACACCTGCTGAGCTCCAGTGGGCTGCCAGCGGTGAGCTGCAGGTTGATATGTTAAGAATAAACAATTTGTCCCATACTTTAATACATTTAGTGTGGGACCGACTGAGTGCAAGGACTTGGAACAACCCAGAAGGACCATGTGACTAAAAAGGATGGGCAATTCTTTAAAGCAGAAGGACCATCGTTTGATTAAGCTAGTCGTTCCACTTTAAAAACCAGTTCTTCCCCTAGAACCATAGGAATAGTAATCCTTAGGAGTCCTTCTACTTTCATGTATCAGACTGTGTACTAAGTGTACCTCAACAACACCTTGCGCCAAACTTACAATGTTCAGTCATTCATCGTAACTTAAACATTGAATCAAATGGTAAAGATAAAACTCTGATTAACATTTACCTCGCACAACATTACTGAGGTTTATCTCTCACGGTCTGCCCCTACATATAAAAATAGTCAGGCTCTCCCTGTCTACTTCAGCAAGAACAATAACCTCAGACTGTTATTTGTGAATGCACACAGAGACCAAACAGGACAACTGGCCTCCTCTTGTTTGCAATCTTTTCTATGTTCGTGTGAAACAGATGAGCAGATTGAAACTACTTACTTGTTACTATATATGTCATTAGAGTAGAAGTAGAAGAACTTTAATTATTATTACATAACATTAATAGATCACTTTATATCCCAAAAGCTGGAGAACAAATTAATCTATTGCTGAAGTGCCGCAAACCCTTTGGTGGCAGATGGCAGCCAGTTTTGTGTTGAAAGCCCCGGCACACAGATTATAAAGCAGAAAAGAGAGAGATGAGCCTTCAGCCTTTGACTTAGAGAAACTTCAGAGCCCAGATTGTAAAAGCTCTTGGGCTCTTTCATGGCCTGCTAATCAGGACCTCAGCTAAATATCTCACCTGAAGGAAAACACCTCCTACAGGACGGTATCCCCAGGCAGCATACGAAGACTTTAGATAGGAGATTCTGGTTTAGATTCTCCAACCTGTTACTGCTACTGTTCTACCAACATTTACACCAGCAACCTGGTTTGTCGTAGAGGTTTCCTATCTGATAAGTGAGCAGAGCCAGCCTTTCTCAGCTTCTGAGATCAAGTTTTTGGTAACACTTTTACATGTAAGACTTTTATTATGTCTCTAACATTCCTGCATATTCATTCTGGGCATGTCCATTTTTCCCTTTTATCAAGAGATATTCTGAGGGAGAAAGTTCTGAGGAAGAAATTGCTTAAATTTGTAGGCACCGCAATGTGGTCTTTTAAACATAAAGATCTGTGTTTAAAACTTTAAAAGTTCCTTCTTGGATGTCCTACTTTACAACCCTTGTTACTCTCTTAAATATTTAGTGTTGGCTTATGAAAGAAAAAATGAATTATTAATGGAGTATAAAAGATCTAAATAAAAACACAGTTTTGATCCACAACATCCTCACAATCCATATTCCTTACACCGGAAAGGGTTGTACACGGAGAATCAGAAAAATAACTATTACTTTTGACTACAACATATTGATAAAGTCATTAGGAAAATCATTACCCTTTTTGGCACAGATGCAGTCATTCTGTTGGTTAGACATGACATAGGTAAATGTATTAGACTGAGGTGTATTTGTCATTAACGGGGATGATCAAGATGAGTCAGCAATGAATGTCAAGAGTCTAGTAGTGTGTGTGGACAAAGCACAAGCTGTACATCTGCGACATGGCCTTTTGGCACCAGGTTCTAGATGCTGTCTTGTGGGATTCTGTAAACGAATCCTTTATTTAATTGATATATGAATGAAATGTCCCGATACGGTAAACTCCGCTCACCTGAAACACTTCCACAGGCACACCCCCAACACACCTGGCTGAAGCACTTGCCATCAAACATCCCTTGCTGAAACTGCTTTTATTCATTTCTCATATCATATATTTTCTTGCAACATCAAGAGGATTTTTTCCTCTCAATGTGCTTTAATCTGACAAGTAGTTCAAAAGTAAAAAGCGAGCGAGTCCAGGTGTCCCAGGATGAGAGCGGTGCTGAGGGGTGGGCACGCTCACAGCGGTGTGGGGTGCGTCAGGGAGTGCCCCGCTACTCCTGAGCCAGGCTGGGGTGGCAGCTGCAGGGGGGGCAGCCTGACGGGCTGGCCCACCCCACACTCTAGCACCCTGTCCATGGCCTGCATGCGGCGCCCCTGCTGCAGCCAGTAGAGCATCTCGATTTTGTCCCAGCGCATCTTCTCGGCATAGGGCCGGCCCTGAAACAGGCCGAACAGAGCAGTCAGAGATCCGGCGCTGTTGCCGCATAACACACATCACGTCAGTAATGAGCACAAGCACCATCGCAGCGCAGAAAAAGGAAGGGCTCAGACACTTGACTTTGTGTGAATAGAATCAAAAAGGCTCATTTTCTGTTGAGAAGGAGGGTAGCGTAAATATGCTACATTCAATATTATGTTTCATGTAATCCTGAATGATTTACAAAATGTTTTCTCATCCCCATCACAATTTCTTTTGCGATTATTAGCTGCTGGTTATCTGAATCAGATGTAGTTCAAATTTCAGTTTGTTTTCCATCTGCTGGAAGTGAGCAAGCTTTCATATTCCAAAACAGTGTAAAAACTACACACTCCTACAGTAGTCTGCCCTGAATACACAGATTTACAGCGCTGGCACTGAGTTCCATTCTAGAGACAGCTAAGAAACAGCATTTCTCCTCACCTGTGCAAGTTCTAACATTTCAGGTGATCCTAGTGGGATTGTTCAGGACAAAAGGGAAAAGCAAGAATATTGACAAATAGTGTTTGCAAGCTTTAAGCGTGTTAATCTACAGAGGCAAAGACAACAGCACACAAAAAAAGCCTGAGTGTGCTTTAAACTTTTCGGAAGCTGAGGACATACAAGTGCCACTTACTTTATATGTGACCGTGTCATTGAAGCGATCTTTAACTCGATGCACAGCCTTCGACAACAGGCTTTCAACAGCGGAGATCTCGGAGTGCAGTTTTCCCCTTCGCTTAGATTCGTCCAATCTTGCAATTGATGTACCACGATACCCTACACAAAATTGATGCAATACTGTACATCATGCTTTGTTGCTCATTTCGCTTTTCACTGCTTAAGATCATCATGTCAAGTGAGGTTCTTACTGGTTTTAATGGCATCAACAGGACGCTGTTCAATGTAGGAGTTCTTTTATTAATTACACAATAAAGCTGTCAGAACAGTACCTCGTTCAAAAAACCTGTTGGGATCGGAAGCATTCCTCTCGAATCGCTCCAGTTTAGCTAGCAAGGACTCCCTCTGCTGGATGAATTGGACGGCTCTTTCCCAAGCAGTGGTTGCCTGGAGACAAAACCCACAAAACGCGTTTCTGAATGCTCTGTTTTAACCTGTACTTTGCTATCTGCTCTGAGTTAAGCTCCAGCTCTTCTGTGTGCGCTTTCCGACGTAGGAGTGTGGGAGGCCGACAAGGATGGTTACATCACACTGCGCACTGCGGTGTGCACAGAGAGAGACCGTGGGCAGAGGCACTAAAGGACTGCTGGCAACAGAACCAGGAGATCAGGAAGGAACCCAGTTTGACCTAAAAAGGTGCTGGAGGAACAAGAGGAAGTACATCTTCTGCAGGTTAATTTCTGTTCTTTGAATTCTCGGGTACAAGACAATGCACTTTTTAAATACACAAGGAACACCTTGACTTTTAATTGTGAACTCCTGATTTGACGAAGCAGCTGATCAAGACAATACACCTTACATGAAACAGGAAGACGGAGATGGCTAAAATATGTTCTAATCATTGGTACATATTGGGTATGTATAAACACAACCCTGATACAGCAGCAGACATATTGACATATTGTTCCTTCAGCTTTGAGGTGTAGGCACTGACTGACTTTCTCTTCCTTGGGTTTATCTCTTAGATGCCTATTAATGCTAATCCAAGGCTAATTCCACTGGAGTCAATCCTAGCAGCTAGTCTCCCTCACATGTAACTCTGCCGTTGCCAAATTCACCCATTTATTCAGCGCAGGTGAGCCTAGATCTATACCCATTTTCAGCCAGGATTAAGATCCCAATGAAGACTCCTTTCATCCCATCACAAGACGTAATCAGTCCTAGTCAATTCTTTTAAAAAAACAGTGTTTGATTTAAACTTATGATGGCGTTTTGAACTCCATTTTTTAAATAGAACACAACAGCAGCTAAATGTATGTCACAATTGCGTAAAGATGGAAAAAAAGACTGGAGTGACAAAGTTACAATAGAGCACCGTAAATGGTGCAACATCAGCCCAGCAACTGAACGAACAGCGTCCCCTTTCCTCATGGGGAATAAGGGAAACCTCAAACACTGGAGTATATTACTAAGTAAAATCAGACAAAGGTTGTCTGTAGCCTTACGGAGAAGACTAGTAAAGCTGTAGACACAACACAAAGCTTCGGGAGAGAATCAGAATTGATCAGATTAGAAAACACAGAAACTGAAGTCGTGGTTATTGTGTCAGATTGTCTGGGAGATGTCCTTCGCCTTTATATTCCTGACCTGTGGCCAAGATGTATCCACTGAGCTACTCTCCAGCTAAAGTACAGGGCCATGAAAGGAAAACTCTTCGGCTTGAGAAAGGATTATGATCAAGCGAAGGTTAGGATCCCCAGACCGATTCTACTGAAGCTGATCATGCGCCCAGTAGTGCAGGATTTAATGAGCCAGTCCTTTAAAATCACTCGACTGCTAAAAAAAACAGTTGATCAAATATCGACTGTTATTTAGGGTACATTGAAGAGCAAAATACAGAAGCTTATGGCATTTTAGAAGACTCTATGAAGAACTTTAACTACTTATAATAATAATTGCTTACACTTATATAGCGCTTTTCTGGACACTCCACTCAAAGCGCTTTACAGGTAATGGGGACTCCCCTCCACCACCACCAATGTGCAGCATCCACCTGGATGATGCGACGGCAGCCATAGTGCGCCAGACCGCTCCCCACACACCAGCTCTCAGTGGGGAGGAGAGCAGAGTAATGTAGCCAATTCATAGAGGGGGATTATTAGGAGGCCATGATTGGTAAAGACCAGGGGGAAATTTGGCCAGGATGCTGGGGGAATGTCCCTACTCTTTTCGAGAAATGCCCCTGGATTTTTAATGACCACAGAGAATCAGGACCTCGGTTTTACGTCTCATCCGAAGGAAGGCGCCTTTTGCTATACCTGTTGCTATACTGTTGCTATAACTGTGCCTGTTGCTATACTGGGGCATTAGGACCCACATAGACCACAGGGTGAGCGCTCCCTGCTGGCCCCACTGACACCTCTTCCAGCAGCAACCTTAGCTTGCCCAGGAGGTCTCCCATCCGGGTACTGACCAGGCTCACACCTGCTGAGCTTCAGTGGGCTGCCAGTTGTGAGTTGCAGAGTGATATGGCTGCTGGCCATAATCTTGTTAGTCTAAATTTGTCATTTGTAATTCCTCATCTACCCAGATTGCTTCATCTCTTCCACTTACTATCATTTTATATATAATAGACTTCATCCAGAACCCAGTCCTCCCTATAATGAATATAACCCCCTAGGCTCAAATGAACCCTTCCAGGATGTGACTTTGCACAGCTGGCCTTGGGTCAGGAGTGAGCAGTGCTATTATCAGCAGCAGCTACTCTTGGAGACAACAGCCTCTCGCTCCTTGATCAGTCTGCAGCAAATCCTGTGGATCTACAGACCAGGATGAGAAACTGGTCAAGGCTGCTCACTCCTGTAAATCCCACTCATCGCGCCAGCAGTGGAGTTCTGAGTTTGAATGAGTGTGCGCCGTTTAAATTTTCTACAAGATCAAAAGAGTTTGACTAAAATGCCGAGCCGCCTCGCGAAGTACCTCCTCCAGGCGCTCTCTGTAGGTGTGCGAGCTGTATTTGATAGCCATGTCCAGTCTCTCTCCGTCTGGGACATAGAGCGCTTCCCAGATTCTCTCCAGTCGGCTCTGCAGGAGCTCCTCCTCGGTCCCCGCTGACCCCGATCGGGCCGCTTGAGATCGCTCCGCCTGCACAGAGAAACATTCCCAAAACACTCGGCTTTAGGATTCCGTTCCGCCTGGCGTTTCACCAGGTGTCATTCAGAGAATCATCGCAGTACAAGGAACACGAGCTGAGCTGGGGATAGAGCAAAGCAGAATTAAAGGGCCAAATATGTCAAGAGAGTAGACAGTGATGTATCTGTGTGGTTAAATTTTTGCGAAGGACCCTGTGAAGCCTCAGTTAAATCTAGCTCCCATCGCAAATGATAAGCCTGTGGATCATTTTCCTCTGGGTGGAAGACTAAAACTTCAGCCAGATTGTGTCTTTATGACTGGCAGGTGGGTTTAAATGTCATTGAAGTGAGGCCAAGGCCTGGCACTCAAAGGCAGGTTTGGCAGAACCTGATTAGAAACAGTCCTCTACTCAAACGAACATTAGGTAGGCCAGGGTTAGCGACAATTTGGATCTGCGAAGCCACTGGGCAGATTTCTCCCGTCTTATCAGAATTACCTGCAGAAAGCATTTCTGTGTTAAACAAAATTGGGAGGCTCGAATCAGCAAACTCTTTCCCATTATGTATTGATTACCTATTAAATCTATTACCGTACCTGCGCCAAGCTCAAGCCCAAACCTTCTGCTGGTCGATCAGCATCTGCGAATCAAAGCGGTAAAAAAGCAAAAAACGAAATCAAGGGTCACAGTAAAAAACGCAAAATTATAATAAATGTGTTCCAAAGAAACTGATATCATCTCAAGGAAATATGAAAACAATGCCGCAGTAGCCAGATAAAGTAGAAAGGGAGTGTCTGCATTGTGCTCAAATACTTGCTGGCTTTACCGGTTCCAATACGTTCCTTTGATACAGGGATTGCAAATGTGTGCGATGCAGGGAATCCATAACATACAAAATTAAAGGTAATAAGAGCACAAGAATGACACCGCTCAATCCGGAGGATCCAGGAATGTGCCTGTGGGAACCATGCTGTGGGATTACCTCCCAACTCGGGCTCCTTCCCCAGCCCTCCGAGCATGACAGAGTTCACATTCCACAGCCCGGACACAAACTCCTGCTTCTGGGACCTCAGGGCCGCAATCTTCTTCCTCTGCTCTCTAAGGGGACGAAAATGGCCATGACTATCACCACAGAGAGACAACTTCATGGCTCTCATTATCCCCCCTTTTCAGCTATACTACCTGAGTGTCTCTTAACAGAAATTAATAAAATAAAGCAGCAGTATGAAATTGTTATAAATATCGTTCAGACATACTGATTGATACACCCAAAACCCCACAGTCTAAATTTTACATCTGTAGCTCACTAGGCACATGCATAATTTCAAGTAGGGAGCTGCGTCAGCAGGCGTAGGCTGCAAAGGAACAAGTAAAGGTTTATTCCTGCTGAAAAGAGAAGAAAGGAAACACAAAGTTTCGGCTCTGGAGCCTCACACCTGAAGAAGACTCCACATGGATAACTTTAGTTACATTTTAAATTCTGAGCAGATAGGTTTGTGGATTGTTTAAGTGGTATTGTTTCTTGGGACAGCAAGCTACCGATCTCACGTCAAGTGATTTCCCAAAAGCCCTGGGCGATCAGTGTAGGAATTGAGTTTAAACTGCCAAAATGAGTTGGTGTAAGCAGCCGTTCAAAAGCACCTGATTTTACTTTATGTAAAGAAGAAGATAAGACCCACCACTCCCTGTCTGAATAATGAGGAATAATGCCCGCTTGCTACTGGCATGATTAGAGGTTTATCTGTGAGAACAGCTGTCCACAGGATTGAGTTTCTTCTTCATCAATCAGCAGGTTAATCCAGACAGACCAGGAAGCCGGCTCTGTGAAGGACACATCACACCCCGGAAAGCAGAAGGTCACTTCTGCCCCTGCTTACATAAAGTAACCAGCCCAGGACTGTCACAGGCGTCTGCGTAATCGTTTTCTGAACGGAGTGACAACACTGGGAGAGGTTCCAGAAATACATCCCGTGCGTATCAGCAGAGCGACTGTAGCTCGCCATCTGTATGATAACGGTCCGCGTGGAGCTCTTCAGTGATCATGCTGACAGCCAAGAGAAACAAATCAACATCTTCTGTGGGCGTGAGCATGCCGGGGACAACCGAGAGCAGGCCGGGGCGTTTTCTTCCCCGATGAAGGCTGTCCTGAAGACAAATGGATACGGAGACGTTGTGACGAACAGCCTGCTGTCTCGGCCAGCTGTTGCTCCATTCAGCCCGGAGTCCAGGAGCTCGTGGTCCTCTCAACCAAGCCACTCGATCAAGCGCCAGCATCCCAGCGGGAGAACTTAAGATCACAGCCCTAGGATCACTGTGGCACGACTCCTAGAAAACCGCGTCAAAGTCTCGCTGCGGCCAACTTTGTTTTCCCAACCCGAGAGCCACAGAACATCTGTGGGAGTAGCTTGCCAATGCCATCAGCAGGAGCCAGCTGTGACCAGCCAACCTTCCTACCACCCACGCAGGAAGAGAGGTGGAACGTCCTGCTGCAAAGCATCTGCTTTCCAGAGGCTAATCATCGCTCACGTTGCCAGGAATGGATATAGTCATTCTTGGGTTTCCACATATTCCATTGTGACAGTGCTTCAAATTTCATACTGAAGCCTTATGATTCTTTAACCTGTATTTCTGCTCACATGTTCTGTGATAATGTTTAAAATGTTTGATTAAGATGCCACTGTGTTTGTGACCTGGGCATGACTAAATTAGTCAAATTAACTCCGACAAATCATTAGATTTACAAGTTGCATTTCAATTATATATTTTATTCTGAACTTGTACAGAATATATTGATTCTAGTTATTTTTTCAAAAGAAAATCTGAAATTAAGAGCCAAAGATGAACTAAATGATCTCGTCCAGCCATATGTTCAAAGATACCTGAGGATCAACTCAAACAATGTGGCTGGGTAGCCTGTTCCACACTCCCACATCCCTCTGTGTAAAGAAGTGCCCCCTGTTCTCATTCATAAACGTATCTCCTTAAAATTTCCACTTGTGGCTAAATCCTTAATTCAGTGTAGCTCTGTTAATGAGAGAATAATTTATCCTTGTGTGCTCACTAAAACTCGACATGACCAAAAGGCTGAACCTGACACTGACCTTTCTCTGTACTCCATTTCAGACACGAGGGCTTTCCTTCTCTCATCTTCTTCATCATCACTTTCATCACTGTTGTACAAGTGGAATATTACTTTTAGGTAGTCAGAATCCTAAAATAAATTAAAAGGAGGACATTTAAAAGAGTTAATCCACTGTTTAACATGCATACTGTAGATCTGCTTGCTCATTAAGCAGAAATCAATATTAAATGAAAAGACGATTGAGTCCCAAACAATAAAAACAAATCATAACGTAAAAACATTCACAAACAAGAGGAGGCCTTTTGGCCCATCCAGCCTGTTTGGAAGGTAGTAGTTAATTGATCCCATGATCTCCTTCAGCCCTTTCTTGAAAGAAGCCGTGTGTCATGGTCATCATCCCTCCTCTAGAGGGCGCTCCCACCTTGTATAATTGATTGTCATTACGTGCACCTGTCCCCTGTTCCCCTCTTCTTATTTAAGCCCAGCGTCTCCGTGGTCCCGGGCTCAGCATTGGAGGACGGCCGCCAGGAAGCCTGCCTACCAGCGGGTCCAGGAGTGGCCCGAGGGCACAGGTTTCAGCACGGCACCCTGACCTCTGGGTCCGAGGCTCGGAGCACCCGGCCCCGTTATGCTTTTAATCCTCCACGTTCCTGGTTCCAGTTCCCTCTCCCCTGGTTTTTAATTGTTCGTCTCGGATGGATCTCCTGGCTCTTTGGATTATGGACTGTGACCGCGGCAACCCTATTGGACCTCCTCTGGGCTCGTTCGCCTGGGCCTCCCCCCATGCACCGGATCACTTCAGTCACCGGCCCCCTGTCCGGCATCCCCACCTACCTCACTGTGCGTTCCCTAACGTCATTCTCCAGACACTTCCAGACCATACCGTCTGGCATAGGGTCTTTACCAACGCCTCTCACGGCAGTCCGATTCGGCTCCCCTGACCCCGTGGTACCGTATCTATTTCAACGACACGGCCCGGGAAGCTCATCCAAACCCCCCGCAAAACCCTGCTGAATGGCTCGTTACGCATGCATGAGAAGTCAGTCGTAAAATAATCTGTAGTGACAGCAAAGGAAATAGGTTTTCCTGCACAACAACAGCGTGTTTCCGATGAGGTTTAGAAATACAAATAGAGAGGCCCTTCATTTACCTGAGTTGAGATGTATTTCAGGTAGTCATCAAAGTTTAGTGTGGATTTCCACCACTGCAGCCACGATGCGTATGCTCGGGAGGAAACGTTGTCCGGGCGTTCGTAGTCATTAGTGGTATTGTTCTTTTTATTCTCTCTAAACAAGGAGGGAAATGCCCGATGAATGATGTGAAAATGTTTACTGTAACATTGCCCGTATAAACTTAACGAAGGTGAATCGCACTTTTCTCAGACAATGCTGAATTTTCTGTGATATTATTTATATTTCCAACAATAGCAGTAAAACCTGCAGGGCATATCCAGTCATCCAGTCTCAAGGAAACACTTACTTCTGGTAAGGGTCACATCGCCCCAGTGCCTCAGAAGCACGGGACAAAGGCAGGACTATACCCTGCATGGGATACCAGTCCACTACACCAACATGCAAAAGCACAAGGACGCTTTAGAGATACTGATTGGCGAAGTCAGCATGCCGTTGGATGTTGGGAAGAAACTGGAGCACCCAGGGAAAAATCCAGGGGAACACAGGAAATCATGGGGTACATCACACAGATGTACCCCGGTCCAGACTCATAACCAGGAGCCAAGAGCATTGAGGCTGCAGTACTAACTACCACACCACTGTTCCAGTCCTGCAAACCACATACCTTCTTTAGACATGCGTTTGCTGTACAAATGTGATGTAGCAGCTCCACATTCGGCGTAGAAGACTATTAGGACAAATGTTCATAAAATTGTAAATTATTGTTTACAATTTTTTTACAAGTTCGTATGTTCTCCCTGTGTTCACTTGGGTTTCCTCCCACATCCTAAAGACACACTGGTCGGTTAACTGGCCAACCCATGCCTAACCAGGGTGTGTCCTGCCTTGCGCTTGTGGCTTGCCGGTATAGGCTCTGTCTCCCACGCACGGATGGTTAAAAAATGAATTGATGGATAACTGAAAACTAAAAGTTGCAAACGTCTGAATTTGAAACATTTTGTTCTTTAAAGGAATCGGTGCATTCATTAAGAGGATTATCTGATCGAGAAACGGGATAAAACTAAAATAATACCTTTGCATTAAATTGTTTCTGTTTGGTTCCCTCAGTTGTGGGTTGATGAACCAATGCCTTCTTTTCCTATTCAAAGCTGAGGATGCCAAGACGATGGGCATATCTGCATCAGCCGCAGCACGTTCGATCAGGGGGTCCTTGTGGCGACAAGAGGCCATAATGTATCTTATGATAAGCCTTACCTATGCCAGTCTTTCTGTAAGATACTACAGCAATATTCCTAAAAGCACTTCAGGCTGTTTCTGGAGCACTTTTTGTTCAACCTAAAAATTATATCAAGAGATCTAAGCAGATAGTACACATGATGTAGAAAGTAGAGTTGAAGTAGATCAATTGGTGCATTGCATCAATCCAAAACAAGATTAACCTCTAATGTGTCTAATAATACAATTCAGAACATAATTGTAGTTTTTAAGCACATGTCAAATCACTAACACAAAACACAACAGAAGATAAAATAGCAAAACCCAGCAAAACGACTTTGTAAAATGATAAGCAAAAATGTTAAAAATGTCAAGATACGCAGAATCTCTACTGGATATGGGCTATGAGGTCCTCACCTCTGGTGCTGCACCTGTGAAGGCTCATCGTTCAGTGTGTGGAGTCAGGTTTTAAACAGAATAAGAAGACCCAAACCAGCTCAGATCTCAGATTAAGTACTCATTCAATGCATACAATACTAAAATAATCTAGAGTTTGACCACCCAGAGCCTTTTATTTTATTGTGAGAACCTTAAAGTATACTCTAAACGTCGCTGCTAGCCAGTGCAGTTTACAGGGAACTGTAAACTGTTTGTAAACTGTTGTAAACTGAATAAAGGGAGTTATGTGCTGATGCAGTTCTGTGCAATAGTTAACACACAAACCCAGGATTCCAGACACACTGTGATGTCTCCAGGGGCAGGATCCTGGAAGGGTAGTACATCCTCCTGGTACATTTGCCCTTATGAAGATGGCTGACTGGACCGTCAAGTCACATACCATCATGACAGAGTGTGTGCATGGCCAGTACGAGCCAGGGAGCAGAGTGTGTGTGCGGCCAGTACGAGCCAGGGAGTAGAGTGTGTTTGTTTTCCAGTACGAGTCAGGCACAGAGTGTGTGTGTGGCCAGTACGAGCCAGGGAGCAGAGTGTGTGTGTGGCCAGTACAAGGGGTGGCCAGAGAGGAGAGCACCTGTGGCCTATAGGAGGTACAGCCTGAGATGGCAAGGTGGTTGGCAGCAGTCAAATTAGCTGTGTGCAAGACGCTGACTACTGTGCTCGAGGGAAGACGCCAGCAACTGCGAGGTCTCTGTATGGGAGAGGACAGAGACTGTGCAAGGAGGAGCAGCCTCGCTGAGCTGGAAGATGCTGCGTGTACAAAGCCAGCACAGACATCAGAAGATATCTGAAAGAGGGACTTTTTGCAAACAAGCTGGTAAGCATTTTACCTGCCTGGCCTTTTGGTAGTTTAGGAACGGAATAAATAAGAGCTAGAAACCCAACAAAGGGCTAGGTTTTTCTTTCACTTTATTATTGGGTTTCGATGGTGGTTGTAGCATTCATCAGCATTGTAAATAAACTACACTTTAGAGCCTAAAAGCCTTGTGTTGAGGTGAATCTGTGGTCATGTTCCTGCCTAAGACAATGGCCGATTGTGACCCACCCCACATGGCATCACAATACGTAATTAGTTTCAGAAAACATTATATATACAGTATACTCACTTTGAAATAGAACCTCTACTGTTTTTTGAAACACTTGTCCTTGCACACTAAAATTTAGATGTTCCGGTAAAATACAGCTATACACAGCAATGCTAGGGAGTTCACAATGTGCAACTGCGTGTGTTTAGATATCTGCTGTCAGTACACCAGTAGGACTTAACAACGGGTAAAGAAAGAAATATATATCAAACGTTTTTCAGAGGAGAAAGACCACATTTCCAGAAGAATAAGCAGAAGATATACAACATTTATCTCACCTGGTCGAAATCTAGATACTCTGTTGAAACGCTCTTGGTTAACTCCTTGTAAACATCTTTAATTTCTTGCCCAAGGAAAAGATTCCGGTCCAGCCACTTCACAGTAGAGGCCTCAATCTACAGTGGAAGAACAGTGCACCAGTTACAGCCACTGCCTGAAGAAAGAGTGTATTCTCTATGGAACAGGTCTCTGTTCATCGTGAACTGTACAGAGGAAGCACAGATTAGTACATCTCAATTGCAAAAGGATGTGCTTTTCTATGTTGTACTCTTTAACACTTGCGAACTGCAGGTATACTGTCATTTTATAAACCCGTGTGATATTGAATCTGAATCTCACTTTAAATTGCCACTTTCTATTTATCAAAGGCTATTATATGCCGCTGCATTTGTGTGCTATCTTGTGGACAGACATCACATATAATGATATCCAGAAGTATTGGGACAGCAAAGTAAAAAATGTATTTTTTGCTCTACAATCAATCAATTTGTGTTTCTGAAAAATGAGATTATTATGAATGATAATTACAACATAATATCAATTTTATTTTGGATAATTTCACACATACATTGGATCATAGAAAAAACAATGTACTTTGTGTTCAACCTTGTGATTTCAGGCAACCAAAAGTATTGAGACACATTCACATTAAATTTCAGAGTGAAAATTTCAATTTATTGTTTCATATCCATTTGTGGCAAAAACTACATGAAGTATGGGAACCATTGAGCACAACAAACTCTGTGGAATAATTTGCAATGCAGGACTTTGCTGTAGCCGATTTTGAGTTCTTGCCTACTCTTGGAGTGTTCTGGCTTCAATATTTTCTTCAGCATGTAATTGCTGTTCAATTCGATCTAAATCTGGAGATTGAGGTGGCCTAAGATTCCCCACTCCCTTTCCTCTGATAAACCCCTTGAATGTGATGACAGTAAGTTTTAGGTCATTGTCATGCTGCACCGTGAAGCAGACATTCCTAAGCCAACAAAATGTTTCTGCAAACTTCAAAATTCATTCTACTTCTGCCATCATTAATTACATCACGACTGAGCCAGTTCCAGAGGACCTGCAACTCCACCTGCAGGTCCTTTCTTTTTCCACATTTAACCTTTCCATCACTTTGGTCAAAGATTTTCATGGTCTCCTTCCATAAAACTTTGTTCAAAAACTATTTTTTGTCCTTTGAGCAGGTTCTAATCTTCTGCTCTTGGTGCAGTGCTGCAGCATGGCACATATTGCAGTGTAACATTTGTTATTCTGCTGTCTCAGTATTGCTGTGAACAGAGATTTTGAACACTTTCAACACTGTAATCCAGAATTTGTTGAGGATTTAATTGACAATTGTTTTAGGGTTTTCCTTGACAGCCCTGTGTAATAGCACCACCTGTCACGCCCTCTGCAGCCAGAGGGCGCTCCTTCTCTGTCCTGTCCCTAGTTTCCGGTCTGCTGTCCTTCTGGTCCCTTTCTTTCCCTTGGGCTATATATTTCCAGGTCTTCAATATTCCAATACTTTTTTGGGGTCACTGTGGTAACAGACGCAACCGATAAGGCTTTAGAAAATTAAAGAGCAGCCATAACATTACCTCTCCCGTCAGGTCATTATAAACAGGAGGACATTTCCGTATGTTAACGGTGTCTGTTAGCACTCTGTCAGACACCTGCACATCAGCTGGCCTGGCTACACACTGGGAAGACAGAGTCACATTGACTACCGCAGCCTGGGGATGCTCCGGCTCCTTCACAACAAACTGCTCCACTGGCGTCTGCTCCTCTTCCTCATTCAGCTTCTGTCACCAGAACAGACAGGGGAGATGAGTCATGCAATGCACTCAGAGCTTCACTGTACCGACACAGAGATAATGTAAAGCTGGGCACTTCAAAGCACTTGGAATGTGACTTATCCTGGACTTTAAATATACTGTATGAACAAGCTGCCTGTAGAGCTTTCACTTTGACGATCGGGTCACAAAAGAAACGGAGACTGGAGCTGTTTACCAGCTGAAATGACATTGCTAAAGGTGATCACCAGACCTGGGAGTTTTCATGGGTTTTTCACAGGCTGCCAATTAGCCTATCCTTTAGCAACAAGATGGCAATTCAGTCACTATAGATGACATTTTGTGTTCTGGCAGAAACATCTAGTTTTTCTGACAAGAGGTAACAGTTCTTATTTCTTTTTAAGCATTGCACAACCCATCCATCCATTTTCTAACTGATCATCCAGTACAGGGCCGCTGGAGACCCAGAGTTGCCCACAGGCAACGGGTACAAAGCAGGGTACACCCTGGATGAGATCCCAGTCCAACAGCAGCTGTTTTTGACTGTCAACACACATGGTACATTGCAATTTACCACTGTAAACCGACTACAAACTCACACTGTAGTGCAAAGCACTGAAAATCCTCCACATCTACAGAAGCTTGAGAACTGCTTGAAATGGGTGTGGCGTTAATCTGCGTCGATCAGAGGATCAGAGGAAAGCTCTTTTTGTTAGCTCCAGGTTATTTTTAGTTGTTTCCTCACAGACACAGAAAAGCATGAATCTTACATGCTGTGTCCCTTCTGTTTTTCCCACCTATGATATAAGTGTTTCATTATTTGTCCTTTGAGGATGTTAACCTTGTATTTTGCAGTATTTCTTAGTCCGGTCCTGAATCTCATAGGTCCTTAACTAAACAAGGAGTCGGGATAACAGTTTTGTAAGCATGACCGGGCAGCTTGTTCCAGATCTCCACAACCCTTTGTGTAAATAACGTAAACTCAAAGTTAGTCAAATTTAGTTAAGCTAACTCACCTGTAAATTCCCCTAAGCCCTGCCTAAAGGTAACACTTATTGTATCCTCCGCATGAGCCTTATTCCTGAAACTTTGATTTCTCTTTCTAATTAATTTGTACTGCAATATTTGCTTATTTTTCTGAACATTTTTAGAATGTTTGTGGATGATAAACATTTCAAGTCTTAGCATCCTGATGCAAAACTATTTCTGCCATCATCCTGGGGGACAAAAACATACAAAACATTGAGATTTTTAGTCAACCATTTTTTCTGTAACCATAATCTACCTGGTCATTGAAAGGCATCAAACAATATTGAGCCCTGCAGCAAACACTAAAACATGCTTTAACCTCCAGCTTGTGGAAACCACAGTGAGTATCTAAGAAACTCCACCCCTATGTGTAGCCCCAGTGCATGGACTTTGAATGACACCATAGTACTCATAAGACAAACGTCTTAAGGCATAAATGACTGCGTAGAAAAATTATTTTACTCAGATATTACCTTCAACGTCTCCTGTACATGAAGCCATTTTGCCTCTTTCCTGCATATTACAGCTCTGATTAAAGGTGGCAAGTCAGCTTCTGGGTCATCTGCCTTGGACTGTTGTAAAGGTGATTTATTACCATCCTGTAACAGCCTGGTATTTGACCATCCAGAAAAAAACAATCAAAACCACAGTTTAAAGATATTGTCTGACTTCCTGAGACTGTATTATGTTGTTTACGTTACTAAAAAATACATCAAATCAATATTGTCAAAGACCACATCCTACAATTCACACCACGGCTGCATGTCCTGGTGTTTAAAGCTTCTTTTCCTGCTTTAAGCGCATAATTCCTTAGCATTTTAATTTTTTTTCCATCCAACAGGTGTCTGATCAGTGGCATTAATAAGTACAGTATCTGGTGTTAGAGTACTTACTGAAGTTGCACCAGTATATCAGAACCTTACTGACCAACGAGAAAATGAAAGCAAAGCTTTTTTGGGCTCTTATGCACTCAAAGCTCTTACCTTCTCAGATCGTCAGAGATGCTAACAGGTTTCTCCAGACTGGCTGCCAGCACCGAGGTGTGTAACACTACAGGGGAATTCGGCCGAGCTCGTTCTGGTTTGATTCCGAGCTCTTCCAAAAGAGATTCCCTGTAGAGGTCCGGCATTGAATGATAACCCTAAAATTTTAATATATATATGTAAGACGACAAACTAATACAGTATAAATTTTGGTATATTCAACCCTGGGGTTGAATATACTTGCTCGTGTGTCAAAATGTCTACACACAACCTTTTCTTTCTGTAATTTTATTCAGGTAATGTTAAAAAGGAAATACTTCCACTGGAGTTAATAGATTGTGTGGATCACCCTCAACAGGAGGGCTGCACTGAGAAAGGTTGGGAAAAGTATAAATCTCCACATCACAAAGCTCCCAAGGGTAAAACAAAAATAACCTTGCTTTTATCTCGCACACTCTGTGGGATTTGTTTTGCTGTTATTTCTAATTATGTTCTTAAAAAAAACACTTTCAGAAGCACTACATGTGCATCTCTTTGTGTGAGACACCAAGACTTTCTGCAGAAATGTAACTGTAAGAGGTGATTTTCTGCTGGTGTTCATAGGTCCTGCTGTTACCTTCATTTGAGAGGAACAGTGGCGCTCAACATCCACAGACGGGACCCTCTGGCCAGGGGGACTGGGGCTCCTCACTGCAGCACCTACAGACCAACCCTCAGGGGTTACACCAAACACGCCCACCAAAGGCTCACACCAGCACACATGCTTTACAACATCTTGGAAACTGACCGAGAATGTCCATATATTTTACAGGTAAGGTAACCTTTGGCCAGTATATGTTTAAGTCGACTTGTAATTCCTTACATTTTACCACAGGACTCGAAATCATAAACAGATGGTCATAACATTTGTCAGGTCTTGTCTCTCCTGTTGAAATGTGAAATTGATCATTTTTTTCACTACTGTTACTCATTTTCAAATGTAGAAAATTAAATATACATCCATCACACTTTCCAAACTTAGAACATTATCTTTTGTTTGGTTTTACAATGGAAAACTGCACCAGGACACACACAAAGTAATAAGAGAATTGCCTAATTAAATCAGTTTATCTTCCTTTAAGTCTTTTTTAAAACAGATATTTGAAAAGCCACATTATTAGTTAGAACATATTGGTTTTCAAACAGAAAAAAAAAATCAAGTATCCTAATTTATCCACAAGTTTCAGACTGAGAGTTTTAATGTGTTGTTATAACCATGCTCAGACAGAAATGTCCAAATAATACTAAAACCCAGGAAAAAAAAGGTCAATTGTATCACTATTTTGAAATATAATTCAAATTTTTATACCCAGTGCACTTAAAGAATGTTTTTGCAGTGTAAAGATGATTGTTAAAATAACAACAGTAAAACAAAAAACTCTTCATTTGAATTCTTCAATCTTACTTTCCAGTCAACTGAAAAAACGACAGTTTTGACTAAAACAAATCTTGCTACATTAGCATCCAGAAGTTCTTACATTGCATGGCTTTTCTGGCATACACCTGCTCCTCCTGAAACGGCAGAAGCTCGTACACCTTTTCCAAATCCAAAGGCGCTATCGCTTCATGAATCTGGAAACAAACATGTGACAGACGTGCTTACTTTCAAGAACTAGTAAAAGAATACCTCGCTATGAACGCGTGATAATAATGCCTTTTCTCACAGTCTGGGTGATCCAGGGACGGTCAGGAAAGGCCTACCAATTCCCTAACAATGCTGCCACCTACTGGCTCATTTCGCTCAAGCTCTGCTGGGTTTTTCGAGGGTGTCCTGAACGGCGGTGATGAGGGTGCGGCTTCACTATTATACCGACTCTTGCCGGAGGCAGACAGCGACAGAGTCCCTCACCTCCCGGAGGTCTCGCTCCACCACAGATTCGTGCGTTCTGCGCCCAGTCCCACAGCTCCCATCAGCCCTGTTCTTGCTCGCCGGAGGCAGGCCAGCCCCTCGCCATGGCACGCAGGACTCTGCTGCGCGGTGACCTCTTCCTTGCTTGGGCCACCGTACTCCCCCTCTGCTCTCCTGGACAGGGGGGTCCGAACGCCGCCGAGTGCTTTCTCCGTGGAGCTCCACAGGTTTCCGAGAGGCCAGGACCTCCGCTATGACACTGCGCCTGATGGTAGGGACACGTAATCTGGGGGATAATGCATAATCGAAAGCAAAACGATCAATTATTTATAAATCGATGAACAGCACAAATGAAAAATCTGAAAAGCTCCTATGTCTACATTTCAAACCATTACAGATAACTAAGATGACTGCAAAGGAAATCAGCTGGGAAGCAGGGTAATCATTTAGATGTGTAATTTAAACATTAAAAAAACAACAGTGTTGGCCAAGTCACATCTTGCTACAGACCACACTAGCCTCAAGAAGGCCACTTACTGGAAAATAATTGTTTCATACATGCTGATGTATCCACAGATTATACTAGTTGAAAGAGGGCATGTACCTATTCTATTAATTAGCAATCAATAATTCATCACGTGAATGATGGTTAAGACTGGCAAGGTCTACTTGCATCTCAGGGGTGGTTACATTACAACTCAAATTAAGTCCATTCTCTGTTATATTTCAATACTGGGCATCCAATTAGTCCTGTCACTTGTAACTGCAACAAACTCATGGTGTTAATATCAAGAAAATGACCTTTTGTAGCAAGCATGCTGATATTTTGTTGAGCGGACATGACAGTAGAAAATTCAGGATGCAGATTGACACGTGCAAGTCAACAGCAATGACAGTGCAAGTCATTGGCTTGTAGCGCGTGTGGCCACTGCTGGACACAGAACAAGCTGAACATCTGTGATGCATGCATGCTCCACGCTAGGCTGCTCTTCTATACTGTAACTATAGACCGTGCTTGGCACTCACAGCCTGGTGCACTCGACGGACAGCTGTGCACCCAGGCGGCTCAGGTTGGCCTGATCGCTGAAGACGCAGCGTCTCCTCAGAGTGTCCACCATGCAGAGGTAATGTAGGAAGAGCTGCTCGCAGACCAGGATGATTCGCGTGGTCATCTGACACCGGAGGGCCTCGTTCTCTTCTGAACTCAGGGATGGATCACAAGTGAGATTCTTAAGGTCTTGCCAGATTAATTTTACTTCTGCCAGAATGACGCCTGCCTGAAACAACAAGGAAATAACACACTGTATCTATTTATTGGCCGTATCGTCGATCTGCTGATGCTTTGTATTAGTGGGGAACTTAATTTCAGTGTGATTATATTATTACTGTCAAAAAAAGTTGGAAACACCACAGTTTAACACAAAGTTCACAAATGTTCAGTAAAATGAGGTGTTGTATGTGAAGGACAAGAGCACATTATTGGCTTACTCACAAAAGCCAGTTTTTAAACACTTTTTAGAATACTGGTGCCCCTGAAAACCACTTGAATAACTAAGGAGGTGTTTGCAGCAAGGTTTTAAAATAGAGTTAAGATGAGGCTTTGGGCATTCCTGCTCTGCAACAGCACCTACTCACGACAGCGAAGCCGAGTCCAGACAGACTGCCTGAGCCGAACCGGACTGTCATCAGAGGATTTCCATCCGCCCTAAAGCCTCCACGCCCAAACGCACGCTGCAGCAACGGGAATGCGGATTTATAAAAAGGTTCAAGGGAAACTCTCGCCTGTGTTGTTTAAGCTATCGAAATATCTGCAGGGGAGGGGGGGCCCGGTGAGAGAGAGGCCACTCTTGTCTCCTACCAGAGTCCGCTGGGCTTCTTCAGACACCGCCGTGATCTCGGGGCGCACCTGCACCCTCCTGTGAACCAGCTGGCAGAGCTCCTCCAGACTTGCTGGAGACACCTTCACGCTGTCTCTGATGGGGGTGACAGGCCTCTCCTCCTGAAGCCCACCGCCTAGGGCACAGCTCACATAAAGACAGAGATCACTTGCATCTGACAGTACAATAACAGGCATTCTTTGAGGACACTTAATTAGGAGTCCTTGTAGGCTTCTGAAATGTTGAGTTCTGATTTTGCAATCTCTCTCTAAAGGTTAAAGTCATTTAGTGGAGCCACACAGGCTCACTCTGGAACCTCTCTAGGCGACAGCTGAATTTCCAGAAGTTACTTCACACCTTTGCACCCCTGTAATATGCAAGAACTTTGAATAAAGGGAATATTGAACCTGTTCGTAATCACGGTTTATATATATTTTACCAGAGAGGTGAATTAAGAATAACTTCTCATTTACAACGACAGCTTGGAGACCCATTTATCAGCGAAGCACAATGCAAAACACTGGAAAACATGCCAGAGCAAATAAGCTGTAAAATAACACCGCAGTGTGGAGGACTGTGTCAGGACCCTGGACTTGTAAGTGGTAGGTCGCGGGTGCAAATCTGAGGAAAGTGCTTCTGCTGTACTGTTGAACCAGGTACGACTCTAAGATTGTTTCAGTAAAATAAGCAGCTGTACACACAGGCATCCGCGTGAACACAGAAGCTGCTTTGAATCAAATCCCAGCAGCGAAAGACATGACCACAGTCAGACCCGGCGGAAACTGCCCGAGCCACGGAAGACCCAAGGCCCCCGCAGGAACAGCGAAGGGGCCCCACCTCGTGATTCTTCGCACCCCGGCCCGCCCGGCGCGAACGAGGCGAGGGGCTCCCGCAGGCTCCTGTAGCGCTGCCGCAGCCCGCGGGCGGGGGCCGCCACCTGCGCCAGGGGGAACAGGCCGTCCTTCCTCCGGAACCGGGCCTGCTGGGACAGACCGGCCGGCACCTTCACCCCGGCGCTGCCCATCCCGGCCACGCAGTCCGGACTCCTCCTGGCTGGCCGGGGAGAAGAGCTTAGCCGCAGCGCAGCAGACAGGTGGGCAGGGCTGAGGTCTTCCGGCCTCACGCTTCGGTTTAAGATCAGCTCAGCTGTCACAGGCACAAGTGCAATGCAAAGCTTATTTGCATGTACGCTCCGGTACAAGGACCAGTACCAAACAAACCAAAAAAGTATCTGAAGACTATGGTATCTTCTCCGCAGGGAATCAGGGATTCGCTCTGTTTAAACCCCGAGAGTGCTGCAGGCACACCATGTGCACTGCTGCCACCACAACATGTCTTCCAGTTCTCCAGCTCTGCCGTCAGTATTATAGGCAAGGGGGGCGGAGTATTTCTACACTTCCAGCTGGAAACTGCAGAGCGCTGTAAACACGACTCAGCTAATGCTTCCGAAGGAAAAAAATAATCACACCACACTCGTCCGCCGTCAACATTTCAGAGACACGCAGAAATGTGAACCCTTAACCCAATCTGCGGAGTCTTCAATTAAACACGACAAGAAATGTACTGAAATTCACGCTTATATAATTGCTACGGTCCTTATTCACATAGTATATAACAGCAGAGCCATACTATAGCCATTCGATCGGAAACTAGTGAAAGCAAATAAGGAAAGCGAAAATTAATCGCACGACATCACATTACTTAAAACACTCTTTGCAACTGACACAACGAACAGATATACGAAAATTAAATGGCAACGCGTATTACCTAGACGCTAATAGCGACACCTTAATTCGGACATACTGTAACTGTGTAAAAAACACGTTTCCGACGCCTCGGCACCACAGCGCGGAGCGGGCTCGTTGCTAAGCGACGCCCAAACACAGCGGCGGCGAGGCCGGAAGTGCCCCTGCGCGAGCTGGGGCAGCAGCCGGCAGCGCGTGAGAGAGATCCCAGAATTTATTTTATTCCAACTTCGATTCCACCTCACGTAATACAGGCAAAGGAGTCAGGGTGTCCAAAGACTAGGATGAGTGAACACAAACGAAACACTGAACAATACGCTGCCGGAGGTGATTACGAATCAGATTTCTGAAGATGGTTAGAATCTGTACACACCTCAGTTGTTTTTTTGCTTTATTTTTCACGTGTCTTTCTAACGGCGTTGAAGTCATATTGCATTTCCACCTAATGCGCATGAAAGGAAGGGGGGCGTTAGAGCATTTTGTTTGGTGAATATGATACCTGGGCTTCTAAACTTCCCTGTCACACCGTGATTTGTTTTTTGTACCGCACCGTGATGTCATTAATTGTTGCTTTCTTTTTTTCTAATTGAGAACGCATACCATATCCCGTCCTTAAAAATTACTAATCAGGGATCTTCATGCTGAGTGTGTTTTTTAATGTGCTTTACGTGCAGCAGTTAATATTTTCAGGTCCCCGGACAGTTAAAACCACGCACTGCCCTGACCGGGTACCCCTTTTTTTGTGCGTCTTTCTAAATTGTGAGGATTACTCAAAGCTGCTAACTTGTTCTTCCTCTTATACACGCGTGGTTCTGACCGGTTAATGGGCTCATGTTGTGCGTCTCTTTCCTGCCCGCACAGCGAGCTCCCCACCCGGGGCGGTGAAGGCGGTGTGTGTCCGTGAGGAGGTGCCCTAGCCGCAGGGCCGGGAGAAGCAGGTTTGTTTTCTTTTCGCGCTGTTACTGAGCGCCCAGGGGTCTAGGGGTGACAGGGCGCACGGTCCGGGTCTCATGACGTCGGAGAACATTCCCGGCCTGTTCCCGGGAAAACTAGCGCCGGGCGCGGAGTGTTCCCGCCGCCGTTACCATAGTAATAGTGTCGGTTTCCGTGGAGACAGCATCTCCGTGGCGCCGGCAAATCAAACATGTCCCCTTAGTCTCCGGACCAGTGCAGACCCGCTCATGCTTGAGGTTCTGTTTGTCAATAGTTTTATTTCAATGAGCATGGAAAAAATCCTACATTTTCTTCTTTAAATTTAAAATGTAAAAAAAAAAGAGGCTGTTCGAATATACAACCAAAGACTTCGTGAATACTACTCAGCAGCACCGATCTAAACGTATAGATGGGTCTCTGAACTGAAGGTCGTGGAGCGCGACTTTCAGATCAGCGGCTCAACAGACTGGGACCATGAGACGGGTCTAGATATTGAGTGAGGGAGCCTCTCTCTGCCCCCTCCAAAGGTCCCACAGCCCTGCATCCCCATCTCAACATGCTCCAGTTTCTATGCTGGACCGACGCTCCAGGCTCTGTGTCAGCAGTGTGGGGAGTGACGACTGCACCGGCTCTCCGACAGTCTTATTGCTCTTTTCATTCCGAAGGCAGAGAGAGAAAGTGCACTCAGCCACTGGTCGAACAGGGGAGATTCGTGTTTGTCATTGTTTTTTTAAGTGCTTTGTGTAACTGACATAGATAAGACTCCATTGATCCTGAAGGGAAATTGAGGTGTTACAGCCAATACATTAGTACTTTAGTTATGACAGAGGGTTACTTATGTGCTGTGGCGACTCAGGCGGCTCAGAGGGAAGAGGGGGAGAGAACGAGCAGACAGGAGGCGGATTGCAGCAGCAAGGGAGGAGTTTATTGCCCTTTCCGGTTCACAGAGCGCGCCCCCATTGGCTTTAGCCCACTGAAGAGCAAGCGACCTGCAGGCTCAATTATTCTGATCAAGAAATTCAGACAACGGTGCTCTTCTGGTCTGTGTGACTTTGCCCACGGTTCCGTTTGCAAGGCAGAAGAAACACCCGAGAAGAACGAGGACACCACAGCCTTCTTTAAATGCAAATGCCAAAGCAAAAGACGAAGCACATTTTTTAAAACTTTAATGGACTTCAATCAAGTTTGTTCCAAGGAATTCCTGGGACTGGGCTCCATAGCTGCTTTACATCGAGTAGTACATCAAAATAAAATAAAATCAAGAACCATTGTCTTTAACAAAATTACTTTGTAAGCCCCACCGACTCGGTGTGTACAGCTGAATTTGTATTGAGTCTTTCAGCGCTCCCTACACTTGTTCAGAGCGAATGCCTCAAGAGGCACTGAATGGAAAACTCATGCATCTGAAACAGTTACTGGCGTTATCAGGATAATCACCGACAGGCAAAAATGACCTCTCGGCCGTTCTAGACCAGACGACAAAACACCAAGAAGAAGAAAAGTCTTGAAGAACTATACATTACTAATTTTTCATGTAAGCTGTATACAGCGAATCGAAACCAGAAGCACAGAAGAATATTTAATGCCCAAACACCCCCATTTGAATAAAGTGTAATTGTAAAAAATACAATTTGAATGCTACTTCCTTATTGTAGATAATGATGGCACAGAAATGGACATGAAAATACTTTTTGCTTATAAAAATGTAGCATTTTCATTTCAGACAAAGAATAGGGAAATGTAACACTACCCATTCTTGTTGCTGCGTGATAGACCTTCACAACAACTCAAGTTCAATCCCTCACAAAAGTCCTCAGCACTACATTACACCAACTTCAAACCACTTCTCTCAACATGCATTTTCAAGCGTCAAAGTTTCAGATACAGAAAAGATTATGCAATGTCTTTCCATGACTAGATCTCCTACAAAAGCATCATAAATATGAAAATACATTTTTTTAAAAGAACATCTTGCATTGTAAAAACTTATTTGATTGCATCATTCTGACCAAATCTGGTATCTTCAATCAAAAACATGAAGCCTTTTGCTGGTACGAAAATTGGCATTTAATTTTCTCTTCAGTCTTTGTGCTATACATTTGTTCACTTTAGTATGCAAGTTGGATAAAGCATTAAGGACTTCCATCAGGTCAAATTAGAATATTCTTAATATTTCTGTAAAATGGTATATACAATTTCCCTTTATTTTAAAAATATATAAATGGCAATTCCGTTTTGTAACGAGAATGTACCCTATTTATTTTCCGATCCGTGTACATAAATATTTAAATAACGTTCTCCCAAAAGAACATAACTGGCAGGACTGGTCATTAATGACATCTTTTTTTAGCACACCAACCACTCGTGCCTGCATTGCAAAACGCAACACGTTTCCCCAGGCTTCACGCTAACCACAACTGAAATGTAACCAACACCACACAGGACTTTGTACAGGTGCAGCACATCCAACATGACGCCAGCAGACGTAGTTACTACAGCTACTGCACGGGCTACTTTAACAGATCCTAGACGCAACGGTCAACGCACACAGACGTGATACTACATCCTAGCATCAAACGAGAAGGCTAATGTAAGGACCAGATGTTCGGGAATCAGGATGCAGTTCGGGGCTCGACTGTGAAGCAGGGGGATAATGGTTGGGACAACACAAAACATGATATTCCAGGTCTAAAAATAGAATCTCTCTCGTAACTGGGCAACAGTTAAATACAAACGCATGCAAGGCCGTGGGACGTGTCCACCGCGTCCATAAGGCATGGTCCGGCGCCGCTCAGCCAGTGGCTACAGGGGCCTGGGCTGCTCCGGCAGCCGCGGGCCCTGGCGCGGCGCTGAACAGCAGCTTCCGCATGATGCCGGTGTAGAAGGGGCTGTACACCTGCATGTTGAAGCGCACCACCCTGGCGAAGTGGGCTCCCAGCTCCGCCAGCTCCGGCTGAACGAAGGAGAGGCCTCCGGGAACGGTGGGGGGGGCGGGGTGGGAGTTGGGAGTGCAAAGGAAGCGTCCGAAGTAAAGCTGGACCCTCTCATCTGGAATCATGGAATGGGGAGAGGACACGGATTTACTCGGATATAAAAGAGAAGGAATTTCACAGAGTCACTGCGGATCCCATACCGGCACCATGGAAGAGTCACCTCTGCCCGGGAGGTTTAATCCCTCCCCCCCCCACCAGTAAAGACTTCATCGCAAAAAACAAACTTTAGATGAAATCAAAATATACTTCAAAGGGCCTTAAGGATTAAATAATTTCCCACTGAAGAGCAGCCCGACTGGGACACAGAAGTTCGCGTAGGGAGCTGCCTCAGCAGGTGTAGGCTGCAAAGGAACAGGTAAGGGTTTATTCCTGCTGAAAAGAGGAGGGAAACAATGCGTCGGCTGTGGAGCCTTCTTCACGCACCTAAAGAAGGCTCCAGAGCTGACGCATCGCTCCCCTCTTCTTTCCAGCCGGGAATAAACCTTTACTGGGCCCCTAACTGGGCTACGTCATGCTGCTTTCCGCCTGCTGCTCCTGCTCTGGAGCGACGGGGCCCCAGATACACCACAGGAAGGTCAAGGAGACACCCGTGGTCCGTGTGCAGAAGAGCGGCCGAGCCGCTCGGGCAAATCCAGGGCCCAGCCCTGCTCGTGCTCAGCTCCTCATACCTGCCATTACTTCTAGTGAAACGCCAAGCAAGACCGAGACGGTGTTATAAACAAGAACAAGAAGGAGACTGTGAAGCATTTATACTCAAACCAGAAGTTTCTGAATCTGGTCTTGTTGCGGAAAAGCTAGTCACGGCCTGCGCAGATCCACCAGCGCCAGGCCATACTGATCGCTTCTGTGTTTAACTGTTATTGATTGGAGCCAGCGAGAACGCAATGCCCCACATTTATCTTCCCTAATGCATTGCAATTGTAATTTTAAAAAAATACAGGTTCCCCACTTCACTCTGCAGACCAGGCAGTGCATTGTAAAGAGAACCTTAGCAGATGGAGAAGTTTTACAGTACCTATCAGGCTGCTGATGGGGTTGTTCTCCTCAGTAATGCTGCAGATCTGTCCCTTCAGTGAGAGCTGGACCTCAGCAGGCAGGGCAGGATAGCCACGCTCAGATAGAGACTTGTTCAGCTCTGAACAAATCTGAGTACTGACATTCTCAAGAGCCTCCGTCATGTTAAAGGACCTGAAAGAAAAAGCACACACAACCAGCTTTTCAAACAGGAACAACTTTAGATCAGAAACGCCAACAAAGCAGCAACCCGGAAAGATAAGGTTTCTATAAAATGATACCACAGAACAGGGACGACGTACGCAAATGTATGTAAAGGTGAATATATATGCAAGGAGAATAAGAAAACATACAACAGTACATTACCTCAACAACAGTATAGCCAAAACAAGAACTCGTTTGTTGCTCATCCAAAGCTGTAAGTTTTCAAGGAGGCAGATATTGCTATTTAAAATTTAATAAAGCTTGATTATTTGATTCCGATAGGAGCTTAATTTGAGCTGGCCGAAATAACAAGGCTGCGTCCCTTCGGCAGGGGGAACGCCTGTGTAACTTACGGGCTGTGCATGCCCTCCAGGAGAATGCTGGCGATCCTCTTCAGCCGGTCTGCCAGCGCAGGCAGCCCCGAGACGGACCCGCCGACGGTATTGTAGACAACGAGCAGGACGCAAGCCACAGCCTTGAGCAGGCCCAGCCTCTGCTGCAGCTCCCGCAGACGGACCTCATCGGTCATCAGGGTCTGGGGGAAACGCAGAGCGCTGGGGGGGTCAGGAATCTGCTCTGAACCCACCCCTTCTTCCTCTGATCCGGACAAGTTTGCACGGCTCATTCTTATCTGATCTATTCTGGCTGTTACAGAATTGCTGGCGTGCGTTAAGAGTGGTACAGTATGCGAAGATGTTTTGGTGAGGGGGGTGCAGTTCATTATTGGCTCAATAATTATAATTATTGTATATTTGTATTGCTTTTGTAACTGAGTGCTCTCCCCTAACCAGATTCCATGCAGCTGGTTTTGATGGCAGGTACTGAACTTGAACGCGAGAGCTTGCAGGGTCTGGTGTGAGCGAACCGTGAAGCGGTTTCTCACTCCTCCTCCTCCCCTTGCTCTGCTGCAGCCCTGAGCCAGGAGCTCAGCGCGAGGCCCTTGGCGATGAAGAGCACGACGCAAATGCCAGCGCGGCTCGCACTTTAAATTACTCGTGACCAGAACGCGGCGAGTGAGAATTATGCGGATGGTTAAGTCCCCAGATTTCCATTAGACAGCGGCCCCTCAGCGCACCTCTCTGCGGCGCGACGCCACCCCTCTCAGCAGTGCTCAGCAAGAGACGGACATTCACCTCCGGCAGCGCTCTCTTCCGGTAGTCCCAGCTCAGCAGCTTCACGTAACCCGTGTTCAGTACCACAATCGGGCTGGGGATGGCGCTGGTGGCTTTCGGAGGTCCGGACTCCTGGGTGGCGACGGGCTTGGCAGACATCAACTCCTCTATCGTCTCCTTTATCCATTCAGTCGTGTGGTCCAGCGCACCTGAATGCACACCCACCCACACACACCGCATGACTCGCAAGGGCAGCAGTGCAGTTTCACGTTACTTCGTTTCCACACCTCCTGCCACTGGAAACTGGAAGAATGTTGAATATGCTTGTTCAGGGCTGGAACAGCCTCTTATACTTTCTGATAGAACGCCAACCAGGTCTGTGACACCCAGCTGACTGTCCACTGTCGCCTGGGGAACCCCAGTCCGCTGGCAGGCAGCGACACGACCCAGACTCGAACCCGCGTCACCCGGATGACAGAGCTCCACCTCCACCTGGGCGCAGGCGAGCGCTTTTAATGGGCGAGACCCTCAGGAGGACTTTAATGAGCCCAAGAAAGTTTGGGCGCGAGATTGAGATTTTGAAATATTTCGGAGAATAAAGCCCTTCAAAAGAAGGGAATCTCCACGATGTTCTGAATCTGTCGGAGCAGGGCACACCCGGATGGTGGCCCGTCTCATTCACAGCACTGCCTGGCACACAGCACTCAAGACAGCGACGCCAGATAGGAAGCTATTTTTATATACATCGAACATCAGAAAATAAGAACAATTGTTTTAAATGAAAAACGGGCAAACCTTGTTAGCCCTCTGCTGTCCCAAACATTTAAATACTTTCCTCCCCCCATCTCTTTGTAAGCTTCTAAGGAACCACTAATCTTGTTGTTACCGTACACACACAGGTATCTCACACATCACCTGTTAGAGGGGACAGGTGCTCCATTAACTCTCCCCAGCCTGAACACTCATGAATACTCGTCTACACATTTAATACAGCTCTTTGTCTACCGTCATTCCATCCGTCTGCAGCAGAGACACATAATCCTCTCCTGTTCTAGCAGGCGCAGCAGGGCTATTCATCGAGCAGTGTGTGCAAACATGCTACTTGAACAGTTCCCAAGCACTTCCCTGGTTACCGCCAGTAAAAGGCAGTCTACTGGTCTTACCCAGTTGGGAAAAAAAGGCTTTTTCCATCACCTTGACATTAACGCATGCAAGTGTTTCCCCATCTGAACTGGAACACCACCTACAAAATGTGGTGAAATGCAGCCTTAGTACAGATTTGAGATCTTTTTAAACAGCTCCCAACTTTTTTCATTATGTTGAATGTGCAGTGTCCACCTCAGTGTCCACCACACTGCTTCACCCTAGGTGGCGGTGTACCATTCTGCAAAGCAGGACACTGTTGTCCTCAGGCCCACCTATAAGGCTCTGCATGGCTTGGCACCTCAGAACCTGTCTGAGTTACTATCGCCCTACTCCCCACCTCGCAACCTTCGCTCTTCTAATTCTGGTCTCCAGTCTGTCGCCCCAAGCCCGTCTACACTCTGTGGGCGACAGGGCCTTCTCCTGTTATGCCCCCAAGCTCTGGAACTCTCTGCCCAAGGAGATCAGAGAGTCGCCTTCTCTAAACTCCTTCAAATCCAGACTCAAGAACTTGTTCTTTAGAAGAGCCTTTACTGAACTGGTTCTGCGTCTGCCCCTTTACAAGGTGCTCCATTCAAAACTGCACCAGCAAAAACCACTCAGGTGGATAATTAATAAATCCAATGTCAATCAACCCAGCTGGATAATAGAGGATCGAAGGGCAGAGGGCAAAAAACGAAAGAGCATAAGTTTTACACACGTGACTTCTATGCATTTTCTGTGGCCGTCCTCTTGCAGGGTAACTGCAATATTTTGTGTCGCATGTACACAATTCCTAACTCACAAACCCACGAGGCGATGTCGTCAAAGACGCAAGACAAACCCACTCACTGGGAGTTTTCTCCACGATGCTCTGGAACTTGGCTCTTTCGTACTCAATGGAGTGGTACTGGAGCTGAGGCCGGAGGCTCTGGATGGTGTAATTGACCATATCCATCTTCATAAGGTCCAGGACGCGGAAGATCTCCCTGGGGGGGGTTAAAAACAAAAAAACAAACCAAAGAAGCATCCAGCACAAACACCCTTGTTCGATAAGGAGGCATTTCAAATTCAAAGCGCTACTTTGGAGTAATAGCTACACCGTACCACCATACGGTTGACAGCATTAAGACTCAGCGAGATGCTTACTGAAACTAGACGCAATACATGTCAATTGACAAGACTCCGTTTAAGAAGATCTCTAGGCCATACCAGGAACAAAGCACTGCCACGCACCCCATCCCACACACACACCCACCCACGAGGATTCTGCCACCTACCTGAACAGGGACACGACGCTCCCAGAATTCTCCTTCAGCTTCCGGACCTCCTCGTCCCGCACGGGCGCGCACAGCTTCCCCATGATGAAGACGATGTAGTCGGCCAGCGCGCGGATGTCCAGGGCCTCGTTGTCCACCTGCTGCCGGATCAGGTCCATGTCCAGCACCTCGCAGATCAGGTTCCGGAGCCGGTTGGCGCCGGGATTGAGGAAAGACAGCAGGGTCTGGAAGAGGCGGGGGGGCGGAACAGATCCGATACCCCAGCATCGCAGCGCAGGGCGGGTTACAAACTAGAGGGGGGGGCGCCCCGCAGCTCGGCTAGCCCGCTGGGTTGCTTGTGACCCACCAGACGAACACGCGGCCCCAACCAAGCCCATATTTCTCTGCCAGCGCACCTCCCAGCCCGGTCTCGCGCAGTCACGATCGGCTACACGCACAAGGGCGAGGCCGCGAACGCGTCGCCCAGCGCAGACAGAAACGGGCACGGCCCGACTTCGGCCGGCAGGTGCACAGCTCTCAGTTAGGACTGTCGGTGCTCCTCATACACACAGCTCTTCAAGCTTTAACCGCGCAGGGTCACTCACAGTTTACAAACTCAAAAGTTAAAAACGTTTACCAGCCTATAAATAGCCGGCCCCCTTACTTCTGCATCTACGTTCCCGAATGATTTAAAAGCGCCAACATGCATTTTCCTTCACAAGCCTCTGATGGGGTCTCCAGAAATAAAAAAAACTAAGCTTCCAAACAGAGCACACAGATACCGATTTGAAGGCACGGCCTTTTCATATGCTGAGAACGTCACACGAGCGGTCAGGCCTGGCAGTCGTTAAGAGGAAGCGGTCGG